TTAAAATCGATTTCCAACTTTAACTCGATTTTTCAAGGTCAAGCTTTTATCCTGTTGCAATCGATTTCATTGAATTTTAAAGCTTCGATATTTCTATGTTATCGCCAGCTGATTGGAATAATTAATCAAAATTTTCGGAATTTTTGTTTACATAAAAACACGGACAAGTAGAAAATTCTCGAACATTTTTCGATTCGTTGGGCTGGTTAAAATCGGAAATTTATAGTTTGTTATTATGGCACTAAAAAATCTTTAACCACATCTATGAGCTATGTTTCGGTACAACTAGAATCCATTCATCATCATTTTCTGATTTTTGGAAAGCATTTCAGTTGGATCGATACCAGAATTTACCGATTGTATGGAGTTAAATGGAGTTTTTTCCTTCCACTTTGCCGAATCGATTTGACATGGAGTTGATTCGTATTTGTCTCAATACTAATTGGTGTCAATTTCAACCAATTCTAATGTAATTTGATCTTTATTCAATTTTGAAAATTTCTCTTCCATAAAGTCCTGTATAAATTTTGTAGTCTTCCCCCTGTAGCTCACACAGGAATTTTTTTTTGACCCGACCAAAGTTGATTTGTCATGTAACTTTTCCATATCTAACGCCCCGACAAAAAATTGTTGAAATAAAAAACAAAATTTTTTCGCTAAAAATTTTGGTGAGTGGCGATTTTGTCGAAATTTGACATTTAATTTTTTTTCTCGAAAATGAAGCTTCCTGTCGGAAAAAGTTATTCTCTATAAAATCTCGGGCCCCTCTAGGGCTGTCCAACGGTATTTTTTCAACTTTCCAGCTTTCATAGTTTTGAAGAAAATCGCGAAAATATGATTTTCAAAAAACTGCAAATATCTCTGTAACCAAAAGAGCTGAACGGAACCTAATCAATCTAGTCGGTCGGCCGTCTCAAGCGCCATAAAAAAGTTGATATTCACTTTTTCGCGACGATTCATAATAAGCGAGCAATTGACGATTTCCTAAAATCATGCAAAATTTTGGGTAAAAATTTTCGCAACTTTCCCATTTTTGTGATTTGAAATTCGGAGAAGTCTCATTTTTTATGTTGTTGATCCCAATACGCTTTCCTGAGAAACTCCGGCTTCTGCCACATTTTGAGTATTCACGTTTTTTTCCAGTGTGCTTATTTTGGAGATGGCGTCTCTGATGAAACGCCTTATCAAAAGCGGGAGAAACGTCGGATATCTAAAGCAATCCGAATATTTTATATTACTTTGTCAGATATATTCTATTGCGTGGAATTGTAAAACAAAATTGTAGAACTATAGTTCACCATGCTCTAGCGATATCATTCTAAACTCTTCAGATGCGTGCTAAAGAAAAATAAATTTTCAGATGTAAACAAAATTGTGAACATTCAATTTAACACTAAATAAGGTCAATTTGATAGTGATTTTGGTTTGTTCTGCTGTAAGGAACAGATTGCGACACCACCTCCACCATCATATAGTAGAGATAGGAGGCGCAGCAGTTGCACACGAATGCTTAGGGACCCTGAGGAAATCCTAAAATCGCTGAAAGCTGTTAAAGGTGAATTGGGGAGAACTATGAGCTTGACGGCCGACAAAAGAAGACGTAAGTAAATTATTGATTTGTGCAGATATCAGTCGCACTCTAATCCTCCTATAAAGTCGCGAAAAACTGGTTAAATGAATTGCTAGATAACTATTTACAATACACTAAGATTTTTTAAGATTGGTTGTATTGACTGTGTGCTTTCTCAATTTCTCTTTCTGACGTTTTCTATAGTATTAGCTATTATTTTCTTCCTCCTAAACTTATATTATTTCTACTAATTACCTTCACACTTTTTAAATCGTTTAGCGGAACTATAGCCGCACATTATTGGTAAGACCTTACTAAGTATCAAGTAGCTGAAGCTACTTAGTTTTTATGCTTAACTTCGCCTCTTTGTTTTACAAAGTTGTCCATACTATTTTCATTTCAGTTGATCAGATTGCTTATCAACTATTATCATAGGTTCATACTGCATTGTCCTATAGCCGTTTTTGTTGCTCTGTGATATTAGCCGCATTTTTAGTCGAACATTCGCTTGTAAATTTATGAATTAAAAATAATCACTGTAACTATTGGCGAAAAAATTGATAAACATTATTACTGAACTTCTATTTGTTTTGTTCCTCAATCGTACTGTAGGCAAAAGTGATTATTTTTGATTTACTATTGTGAAAAGTGTAATTTTATAGATAGATTGAAATCCTCTAGAGGCCAGACTGCAAGGAAATTAAACTAGTATATATCTATATATATAAAAGTTTGAATAGTAATGTTTGCAAACTGTTAAGGAAATAAAATATTCAGAAATGGGACTAATCAGCTATTTGATTAAATATGTAATTTTTCACTATTTACTTGTTAAGTCCTTTGTTAAACTTAACAATATTAATTATCTCTCATAAAGGATCCACTGCTATGGCAACTCGCCAGGACAACAGGAAGACTAGCGTAATGGAGATAGTGGAAACAAAGGAAAAGGAAATGAGCCCACCGAGTAGTCCTGAACGAACTTCGCCTCCAAGACTGGGGCCTGGTCAAATCAAGCCCAGAGGATTTAAGTTCTCAAGCACCAAACCGGTGGAGACAAAATTAGGGCTGTTGATGACCAAAGGCCAGTTGGAAGTGGAAGTAAGTTGGAAATTTCACATCCACTGAGTTTCAAAGAAATTGACTCATCAGATTTTTGCTGAAGTTCAAAGTAAAGTATTCCAGCTTTCATACCAACTGATCAAAGTTAATGATTATTTTTTCAGTTGATTTTTATTAGTTATGATTAGTTTGATGAAATTTTATTGATTATTTTCAGCCGCAAATAATGAGGAAAATAGCGAGCCATCTTAGTATGTAATCATAGAAATGTACGCGTGATTTCTCAGCTAAACGCTTTATAGTGATAAATTATGTTATTTTGTAAATTTTTTATTGAAAAAAAGAGAAGATTCAAAGTTTGATTTTTCCATTGAGTCAAAAAAAATGCTTTAAAACGTGGTTATATGCTTTCTCCGTTACTTGTCATAGAAAATGAAGAATCAACTACTCTCCCTCATCTACAAAACAAATTATTAAAATCGGTTATTTATATAAAAGTTACAAGAGTTTGAGCTTCACCAAAAAATAGGCTCAGAAAAAATAAAGTATTTTCTCCAAAATTGGGTTTTTTCAAATATATTTGGAAGTAGTTAGAATTAATTATACCGTCCTGACTTAAATGAGTGCTTATTAAAGATTTTTTGTTGTTTTAGATTATTTGTGCCCGACATATTGCTTCCAAAGAATCTCCACCAGACACATACGTGAAATGTTACCTCCGTGATGGCGAAAGATGGTTGCAAAAGAAGAAAACCAGAGTCTGTAGGCATTCGTGTGAACCGCAATTTAGGCAAACGTTAAAATACCAGGCCTGTGATGTCTTGGGTCGCAGTCTGGTAAGTGAAAAACACTTATGAATAAATATGTTTTTCGAATACCAAAAGTTTTAAAATAGATTTTAATTCAAGAAAAAAATAACGGAAAAATTATATAATTTTGATATATTTACTGATATTTAACTAGGCTTAAAAATCGGGATATTTTTCACGCAAAATGCAAAAACTCAAAACTAATACGGTTCTTGAAAAGAGTTTTTAGTCATTGGCTCTTGTTTAGAGAATCTGTTGAGCTTTAAAATGTGCACTTTTTAGCAGACATTCTTTTAGAAATCGCTCTTAGTTTCTGGAACATATTTAGAGAACCGCTTGATCTGCAAGGCTCTCGTTTTCTTGTCTGAATAGATACAAAACATGCGGTAAACTTTTCAGCCTCAACAATCAAGCTTGGATGAAAAGTTCAATTCATAAAAAAAAAAGATTTGGAGGCGTGAACCCACCGATATAGAAGTTACTTATAAGACGACTGTCTTTAACATATTCACGTTAGGTCTGGGCGCGATCTAAAAAGGGGCGAGAATATAATGCGCTATGTATAGATTATAAAGTTTTTCTTTCATATATTGTATTTATTGAAACTAACGTTGACATTGTAGGTTGTAATGCTTTGGGAGAAACAAAGTGGCTTCGAACACAACCAAGGTCTGGGAGGAGCCGAAATAGCATTGGATTCTCTAACCCTTACCCACATTAACGTGGGGTGGTATCCCCTTTTTCCCATTCACTCGCTAGGAAGTGATTCTAATGATTCACCTTGATCTGTGGGCTTTCAATCAGACGAGGAATTTGCAGCGTTTTAAAGCAAGAACTGATAAATTACAAAGGAATAGAAGTGAGCTCTGATTTATCACTGTTTCCTCTTGTTCATTGAAAGCAGTTGAAAGGATAATATGGGTGTCAAAACTGAATTAGAAAGCAAAATGAAAAATTTATACACCAACATTTACTATTATGAGGGAATTGGTAATATTGTAGAAGTGATCAATAGACATTGAAACTATATAGATGATTCATGTAAAAGTTGCGTGTACCAAAGAACTTTCTCGACGTGTCCAACTTAAGTGATCAAAGTCCTGTTTTGGGTCTTCACAGTTTACTCACCAGCAGTTATACCACTGAATACTCTTTTTCATGAATGCGTATTCTCTTTTTTATGAATATGCCGGCAAACTGCTCTATTTAGGTCCGCTTATCGGTTCAAATTTAGCTCGGTGGAAAGCACAGCTTTTCCTCTTCAGTAAAAGTACTTTAACTGTCGCCTTTTTCTAAGACTGCGCAATTTCTCTGTGTAAAATTTGATAGTGTTTCTACAAATTGACTGTACATATTTTCAAAATGGTTATTTAAAAAAACTCTGGCAGATTTTAATGAGTAGAATTTCATTACTTATTTTTTGTGCGATTTTATTACGCGATACGATATTCTCCAGATTACTAATCCGCAGGATTAGATTATTCAAGCGTCGTTTCCTAACTGAATCAACTAAATATGGTATATTATTTTCACATTGTCATAATACATTTTGCACCTATTTTTATCAGTAGTATAAGTCTTCTTAAGACGAAGAAATTGGTACTTTTCATCACTGTTAGGCAAACGGTTGAACAAAACTTCTCTACAACAGAGCTGGTCTCAACCGATTTAAAAAGGTGTCTATTTAAAAACGTGCCTAAAAAGCATTCAGTTTACATCTTCTATAAAATTAATTTTGGTCGATTACTATTTCCGTTTATTATGTGATTTTTTTTTATGTCTCGCCTCAATCTTCAAATTACATTAATAAAATCATATGCAGTCAATAATGTGCAGTCAGTCTAATTTTCAATCACTCCCAAAAAACTAACGTAATTAATCAATTAACAAAATACAGGGTATTAGCTAAGTCTTTTGTGTTTTTGTATCTCCAAATTTAAAAGATTTCCTTTAGAGTCCCTGATTGATGCGCTAAAGGCAAAACTTTTAGTTTATGAGGAAACACACTTTAAATGCAACTTCTTTTACAATTTAGTCTTTTTTTATAATCGTGTCATTCTCATTCGCATGCATATAAATCATGCAATGTTTGTGCAGACATTCAAATTTACTGAATGTGCTGTACATAACAAAATTGGAACAGCTAGAATTGAAATATAACTTCGTTAGTTCTTAATATAACAGGATATAAAATATGTTATATAAATTTATCTAATTTTTTCTAAATAATGTTTTAAAAGCTTATAGATTTATCTAATGCGTACCTATTGCCTTTATGCGGACTTGTTTTTAATACGGCGTTTCAGCTCAAATTTTTATAACTATTTGAATCATTTACAGAGCTGTTATTATCAAAAGAAACTTTCAGAATTAGCAAAACTTTCAAACAAAACATGAAATTAATTTTCGGAAACTTTATGCAATAAGAAATAATTGAGTTGTACTATTTTCAAAAACACCTTTTGCTGTAAGGAACAAACACCAAAGCATAGGTCTAGAAAGAAAAAATTGCTGTCGTAATCTTAAACTTATATTTTATTGTAATGGACTCAATGGCATAGTTTAATTGAAGATTTACATTTTCAACTTCCACCTAATTGCTAGATATGAATCTAGTTGAAAATGCCAGATATACCATGCCATGATAGCATGATAAAAAAAACAATAATTTCACAAATCAACCGTAAACCGATGATCACAAATCCCGAAATGTATATTATCGATTTTGTTGCTATACAATGCGTACCTTCTAAGTTGGAAAGTATATTTAAGAACCGTGTAAAATACAAAAAGTGTAAATGCATATACTTATATTGGCGGACCTAAGATTAAACTGACTATTTGTATGTGAAGAATGTTACACTTTTGTATGCATTTTCCTAGTATTCAAAACACATAAATTCAAAAGTTCAATGGACTTCAGACAGCATGCTTCTAGCTATACTTTCGTGCTGAAATCCTATCTTTTATTATTATTAAAAACTAATATTTTTCGCACACTCATCATTAATTGATTTGTTTATCAAAAAAATGAACGTTTCACAGCCAAATTTGCCCTAACTTTTGAACTGGTTAATTTCTGATTGTCCAGAACCAATTGTGTTCTGTTGTGTGTCTATATTGTGATAAAACTTGCTCACATCGCAGCATCAGATAAATTTTCTATAGGGTGGCAAATAAAAAATGCAAAATTGTTGTTTGACAAAAAACTTTTTTCGGATGCCAACACCAAAAGTTTAAAGTTAAACCAAATAGCGCGAAAGGGATTTTGAATTTTTAGGCCTTCTTTTCTATTTATAGAATGGTTACAAAAAAATCAACTTTTTGGTCAACGATCAGCTTATGTTGAAGGCTTTCAACTAAAGAGAAGTAAATTTTCAAATATTTCTTTCATTCATACAACCCTGTATACTAATCTAAATATTTTCTTCTCATGTCGACTGTATCACTTTAGCTTCAATATGAACCCTAGATTGTGCTAATCAGTTCAAAAGAAAAAAATTATCACTGTAAGGCGAACAATTTGATCTTTTATAACGCTCAACACTCATGCAAATAAACCAGATGCAAAAAATCATCCTTTTTCGAGATATACGGTCTACTTAATGCCTGTGAAAAATGAGAGCATGTGGAACTTTCACTAATTGTGCAAATTAAACTGCTGAAGCAAGCTATCGAAAATTAAGCCGAGAACGAAACCTACGGGAAAAAATCCGATCTTAATCTTACCAACTTATCAACATTTAAATATTTTTTCAGCATTTACTTAAAATAATCATCATTCTAACAGCTCCTTAGGACTAACGGTTTAAAATTGATTGCGAAATTAACCAAAAAAAAAGTAAGCAGTTATACATTTTTCAACTCAAATTCATTTGCGTTTAAACATGTAATCACGTATATTTCCCATGAAATTTAAGTAGACATTTGCACGCCACATGAAATAGTGGCGAGTTTCCCAATATTTCCATATAAAATGAGAGCTGAAGAAACGTCCAGAAAAGTAAAATCTAACAGGAGAGTCAACAAACAAAAACAATATTGTTTAACCATTTTAAAGCAAAAATACGTGAGCAAAATTTTAAAAATTATTTAATCTTTTGAACTTTTAAGAGACGGATACACAAATAAAGTCACTCGCCATGAATTTAGTACTTTTTCAACACAGAAAGAACATTTTCTTTATTAAAAAAAATCAACTATCCAGCCATTTAATATCTTCATACAATTCGCCCTGATTTAATAGTAGTGTTTTGTGAAAATTTGAATCATTTTATCACAAGTTTGAATATATTGCCAAACGCAGTATCTGAAAAAAATCATGTTTCGAAGAACTTTTGAATAGATGTAGACAAAATATGTTAACTGTTAACTGTTGTGATTATTAGTAAGTATATCTTATTTATATACCAATTAAGATTAATGTGCCAGATAGTTCATGGTTAGTTGTTAGCATTCCTACTTGTAATTCTACCTTAGAAGAAATTATAGGGTATTTTAATTACCTTTACACTAAACTAACTAGCGTCATTTCTAAACGATGTGAATTCGATTGGCCTAATATGTTAACTGAATGACAATCTTTTACTCTAGTCATCTTTACTAGTTCAAACGATTGGTATTATTTTTAAGAGTAGGTATATTAAACTATATGAAAAAACAAACATATATAAAGCAAACTATTTGAGTGTGATATGAGAAGAATTTAAGATTTGACTGTCTAAAATATCGGTAAAATCAATATAGTCAAAGAATAGCTATTAAATAAAATTTATGTGTACCTAATCAATGTGAACATATCCCCATAAGTATGTTAGCTAGTGATGTGATGAATCTTGTCATGTGATGTATTTTATTTTCTTAACATCATATTCGAAATAGTTTGTAAATAATTCACCCTAATCATCCAGGATGTAAACTGTAAAACTAAGATTTTTATACTGCCGTGAATTGCAAAGGTATTACCCAATTTTACAACAGATTTTCAGTGAACTTCACCCTTTATTAAACCATCTACATTAAGACCAACACAAAGGCTCTAAAGAATACTTTGCAACTACTTGCTAGAAACTGATGTAGACAATTTTTGCATTTAACAGCAAGTTAGCGGTAATATTCAAACTCAAGAAAACTATAATTTTTTTTTAATTTCAAAATATACTTGCAAAATAGTCAGTAATCAATTATAACAAAACAATATCACAATTGATTTTCAATTCAAGTAATCAATAGAAATTCAATTTCAGGTAGTAGAACTTTGGAAAGGTTTTGAATATCAGCAGCCCAACAGATTCTAGAATAAAGCAAACCAACTGAAATTAATGAAATATTAGAAAAAATAATGAGTATAATTTTTACTGTTTTGTTTCTAGTTTGATCTATAGAAAAAATGTAATACAAATACTTCATAAGACTTACTTATCGTCTTGATAAAACTCTCCAAAAACAGGAGGATTTTCGGATGATGTTAATGTTGATAATCGAAACCTAACACATAAAACTCGTATATTTCTCAATTGTACTCAGCCGACTAAAGCTAAGTGGCGTTATTAAGGGATATAATTCTTTTACAAACATATATTAATTAAACAAAAAATTCGCATTAGCCGACGGGGCTTAATATCCTTCATACCTTTATTTATTAGCCGTTAGAACTGATTCAGCAATATGTTTTTGGTATTTCAATCAGACACTTTGAGTTTAAACGCAGCATTAAATACAGAACCGTTGCTGCATCTGGATGCTGCAGCAATTTGACAAAAATATATTTGTCTCTTGTTGTTTCAATCCTGAAGTAACATTTAAAAAATGCTAATAATCTTACACAGTAAAAGTTTAAAGAGTTTATTGTACATTTACAAAACTAGTCGGCATTTGTTGAAGAGGATGCGACGACATGCGATAGTCCGACTTGGAGTGTAAAACACCAACAAAAAGCGAGCGAAATTTCTGGGTTAACATTGAATTATTATTATTGGATGTTGAAGGCACTGAATTTTTCATAAATGCGACCATAATCCTAAGTTCTATCAACTTAAAAAGCATCGGTCTAAAAATGGATGGTTTTTCACTTTCAAGTCGCTTTTATAGAAAATTTCCGGAAGTTTCCAGGAATTTTTCAGTTACAAAGGCGAGTCGATTGACCGTTGTAAGCACGAGTTTTTCAAAAATTCATTAAAGAAAAACAAAAAATTCCTGAATGCGGCCGATAAGACCCGGAAAGAGAAAATCGGCTACTTGAAGTGAGGAAAAAGTCACTTGAATATGAAATTTCCGAGAGTTTCCTGGATGTTTTCCATTACTAAGAGGAAGCGATTGGCCGTTGGTATAGACAGACGGATGTAAAAAAAGAATAGTCAAGAAAAAAACAAAAATATCTCAAGCCTGCCGAGAATAAAACTCGAAAGAGAAAATCTGCGGCTTTAAATGAAGAAAACCTCACTTTGAGATATGATGATATCGCTGGGAGTTTTCAGTATTTTTTCAGTTACCAAATCGAAGCCATTGGTCTTTGGACAACACGGATTTGTCAAAAATTAGCTATGGAAAAACTAAAAATTTCTCAATCCGGCCCATAATATAAACCCACTTTATTAGGAAATTTCTGAAAGTTTGGCAAATGGCCCAGAATCCAAATTTTTAGCAACTTGGTGAAGTACCCGTCTCAAAAACAATGTTTTTAGTCAACAATCTCCTTTCAAAGTTCTGATCTCCCAACTGAAAAAGTTATTAATTTTAAATTTTTATCAGCAGTGGTATACAGTGGACGCTTAAGACGCAAATATTACATAACAATCGCCCATAAACTTGATTTTTGTCGGATTTACAAAAACCGGTTTCTAAAAAAAACGCTAATAAAGCGCTTGCAATAATTTGATCGCAAAAGATAAACAGTGAAAGTGAGTTTAAAACTTTCACGAGACCGATAAAAGTTAGCCGCCGGATTATCGGAAATCGGATTTACGCGATTTCAACTTTAGATCTGAACGCGGCATAAGAATTTGGCTTGTGCCTTCACAAAAAGCCCCATAAAAAGTTAGAGCGATTTTTAATAATAATTAGGTATCAACACTAGCTTATATCCGAAAATCTTCTTATAGTTTCCTTCGACGCAATGCGTTCCTCTAAAATAAGTAGTAAATGGTAACAAGCATAACAGATTCAATGTGAAACGTATAATAGAGAAAACAATCAGCAAAAAGTATATAGCATGTGAGTAGTGCCATAATGTTAGAAATAACAAAAATATTATTATATTGGACAAATGGAATAAATATACATATATTAGCTTATATTTTTTCTAGTCTTCTTCGGGGTAGCTAAAGACGTTGACGCTTCTAATTGGACATAAGTAAATATTCTATCTTTACATGTGAAATTTGTATTAGCATTTACACTAATAAGTATTTCCTGGTAGCGCCAACGCCTTTATCTGTATACCTTTTCAAATTTATAGCTTTGAACCAGACGTTAAAATTTAATTGCATCATGCATGTACAAGTATGTTAAACCGAATTATTTTTGTTATCGTATTGAAATAATATAAATGTGTTGTTCATAAATGTAAGAGATGGGTATTACAAAATAAATATTWAATTCAAAARMGCTATTTYGTTTTTCCTTCCATGCGCAACTTTTGACTCGATAATCAATYATATATCAACAAGCTTAATAAGGTACTCAAACTAATTGGCAATTCATATTAAGAATACTTMAAATTAGTCTTGGAGCCGGAAGAAAACCTACATTCTATTCAGAAAAAAACGCGATTCTATTTATATAAACCMATTTTTGCATCTAAAAYCGAGATAAATTTAAATCGTTAAATCGAGCGCAACCACAAATCCCGTAAAATTCTTTACAATTTGCGTGCGAATAAGAAAGTCTTGGTACAAGGTAAAGGCAAATTCAAGTTTCCAGGCACAAGCCTATACGATCATTTCGAAATTTCATTTCATTAGAGCGTCCAGCTGTTATATATCAAGAAATTTATTCCAGAGGCGAAGGAACCCAGGCTTAATTTTTTTGTCTCATATTCCTTCTGAAAAAATAAACCACGTCAAAGTGAACCAATGGTAGGGAAATAAGTGAGTATTAAACACTTTAATAACTRTGAAAATCAATTTTTATTCATTACAATTTAAAGATGAGCAGCAAAATGGAAGGCAATATAAATAATACATCGTTACGGTCAGTTTATCAAACCGAATTAAGGTCGATAGCGTAAAATACAAAAAACAGAGATAACAAATCTCCTAATTCATTTTAACTACCTACTAAACAATAATAATAGGCGTACTTTTACTCAATTTATACTTATTCAAAACAATGCTGATCAACTTATTAAACGGTAGCTTCTGCAAACTATTAAACAGTTCGTTTAAATGACCGTAAATCGCATTAACACTCAATGCAACTTGTATTGCCTGCCCAAATCTATCGAGGGCTAATTGTAGAGCTGGATCAACCAGAACACTCACATTAGACTCTCTAGTTTTAACGTAATTATGCAATAGATTAACAGTTGCCGTCAAATGTTGCACATTTATAACTCTCGGAGCGTTTGCGGTCGGTATTTCGGCAATACTATTTAAAAGTGCCAAGTAGAGTTTTGTGTAAACGTCTTGATCCTGCTCATAGATCGGAGCTAAAATACACCACCGCAGTAATCCTAAAACGACAACAATTAACAAAAAACAGACAAACAACGACAATAAACCAATAGGGAAAAATTGGAAAAAAATCCCTATATTTGAGTAGGGGAACCAAAGAGCTGAGAGTCAGGTACTCGAGGTCTAGTGAGGACAGGTTTCAATTCAGTTAAAATAGTAAGTCTTTTAAAAATAAATTGTATCTTATTATGCGTCGAGTTTTAATCCAATCCTACTTTTTTGTCTGCTCGATAACCAACAACTTTTGAGCTTTTTAAGAGCGGAAAACGATTTCTCTGTGGTCGCGCTACTAACTAATAATGTGACAGAAGTACATACAAATGTTCCGCCTTTGTGGCGATTATAGAAAATTCCGTATCTTATACAGAAGGGACAAAAAATAGCAGATGCAGGTGCTGGTATATTGGATTGGAAATTCGGGCAGTTTTGACCCAGAAAGCGGAAATCAAATATCAGATACTTCGGTACAAGATTATGCCAAAATGTCATGTTTTCCGTCCCGCTTTTGCTCATTTCTCGGAAGCAAAATGAGCAAGAACGCTCATTTTTACACCATTCCAGAGAAAACTAAATGGTCTTTTTAGTAAGTGAACCATCGATAAGAAAGTGATGGCAGTTTTCTCAAAAATGTCTTGATTACAAGACGTTTTAGATTTGCGTTTTTTTTTTGAGTTGCAAAATCGACGCAAATATGACGCAGCTTTCAAGTTCGAAGTTTCTCAAGCCTCAAGCTCAAGAATACCTCGTACAAACTCAAAAACTAAATTTTAAAATTTACATCAAACTTTTCGAAGCCAACAGGACACAGTGATGAGTGATATAAATGAGGCATTTTATTCTCCCAAACGAGAAAAGCTTGAATAACTTTTGTCGCTTTACCGTGCACGACTTGTACTGTTGATCGATCATTTAGCAGCTTGAGATCTAAAACCTGGCTAAGAACGCATGGCAAAATCGCTTTAATAATGTGTGTGCACATGCATACTTTTGAGAACTTGTTGGCTTGAGAAGTGGTTGAGGAGCTTTTGAAAACGCGGCAAAAATTATGTTTTAATTAAGTTAAAATTCATTCATATTTGACTTCAATCTACAGTGAGACCCACCTGCTATTGGAGTAGTTGCTTCCATTGCAATAGCGCCTGGAGGTAAAAGGGGAGCTTTCGCTTGAGGTGCCAAGCACAATGTGCAATTTTCTGTTAACTAAAATCATATGTTATTTCATTTATTCTATATACTGTGTGCAGCCAAGACGGAGTGGAAGATTATGGCTAACTGGTGTGTAATTAATGTTTTTGTTGTGATATTAGCATCAATCTATTAAAATAATTTGAGTTACACGATGATGTTTCCAAAAATCGGTGGCCAACTTGTCTTTTTAATGGAACGCCCTTTATCAATATGTCGCAATTGGTTTTCTTACAAATAAGGATAATTTTAATATAAGCTTTATTGAGTTTGCAGTTAACAGTTTACCAGATAGATATTTTAAATTGAAAACAGGGTCACATTTGGAACAGCACTGTACTTGTACAAGAAGCTTCTGTCCAATATCATTTATCTGGGGGGTATAAACCACAGTGCGACTTTTTCCAAATAATGCACCAATAAACCGGGAGATCGAGTTTTTACATAAATATAACTTATTATTTTAAGTGAACACCCCATACATTAGTCTGCTATTTTAATGTTCTTTGAACACGCTTTCAGAAAATGCTGATTTGTCAATATATTGAATCCCACGTTTCTTAGTAAATTGGTAAATCAATGTACTTTTCTTTACTAATCAATGTAGTTTTCGAACTATTTCAGTACAAACTTGAGACAAATTTAAAAAAATTTTAAAGCATCGAACACCTACAAATAACAGTAAAATATTTTTAGGCTGTAATACACATGTAATGTTCATTGGCCTTATTTGTTAGTTTCAGTACGTTGTAGTTATTTGTTGTAATAAAATTAAATTCATTTTTAAGTTTAAATAATTAATAAGATCTGGGGCTCGTTTTCATTTGTTACTGTTTTATTAATTATTGTTCGTTTCTTAAATGCAACATTTCTTGCTTCTTCAAATCTATCCAATAAACTTTCGGTTTTCTTTCACCATTTGGATATCATTCTTAATTATACCATCATTACATACTTGATTTACCTGTTAAGTACATTAATTTGTTGGCTTAATTGTTGAATTTCGCAACAAAGTTTAATGGCGCTAATTCAAATGGCAAAAATTTGACTTTGTAACCGACTTACTCCGAAACATGTGATCGAATGTATTGACAAATGACCACTTTCTGAAAGCTTAAAAGTCCTTCAAGACAGAGTACTAAAATATGGGGTGTTCCATTAAAAAAATGAAGTTAGTTACCTTTACGAAAAACGCGAACTTCCCGTATATTGATGCATTATTTTAATTTTAAAGGAGTTACGCAATGCATTTGCACCCTCGATTAGGTAGTAGAGAACTGGAAGCTGGTCCTATTTTTCAATTTCTCTTACAGACTGAGTCGTTCCAAATCTGGTAAACCATTATCCGCTGACCCAATAAACCTCATAGCAAAATTATCCTCATTTATAAGAGAACCAATTGCGATACATCGATACAGCGAGCTTCATTAAAAAAAACTTTGATATGGCACGGATTTTGGGAACACCCTGCACAACGATAATAATTTTAATGGATAGCTACTATTGACGCCGATAACGCATAAAAAATAATTTCAAAATTAAACACCAGTTAGCGGTAGTCTTCCAGCCTTCCTTGGTTGCACCACCCTGTATAAAAAGATATTTACATTATGTTAGGCATCATAAAATGCTGAAATCGGGTATTTTCGAATAAAGAAGACATATATTTTTATATATTGTTTTTACCTATACCGCAAAGATAGGTTTCAAGATTAGGTAAGATTTCAATGACAAAACGCGGTTTCCGCAAAAAATTTGCTTCAATATACCAAAAATTTTTACCTAGAGCTAAAAAAACTAATTTAAATGCATAAGAATATGGAGATAATCAAATATTGTTTTTGTTTTTTGTGTTTGTTTGTAATTTAAAAAATATATGTACCCAGTCAGCTGCATACTTTAATAGAACTTCAGGAGGAAACATCGGATTCTTCTTAGGAACATAATAATTTTCAGCCACTCCCGTTAAAAAGTTTGCAGTAAATTCAGGAGCAATTTTTGGCAAATCCTTCATCTTATCTTGCAGATTGGGCGCTAGATGAGCGTAATCAAACACTAGAGCTTCAACTAGCTTACAACTTGACGGTGAGGTATTACCTGGAAAATGCTTTTAATCGTATGCATTCTAAACGCTCGAAATGGAGTCGCAGGTTTTTATTTACACTTTCTTGGCTTTTTTTAATAGTAGATGCATTTTTTCGCATCACGTTCTTTTAAAGTGCAATTAGAAATATAGGGTGTTTCAAAATTAACGTCATTCTTCTGAAGGTGAACGAAGTAACTAGATATTTACAAAAACCTAAGTTACACATTGGACAATAATGTTTTGGATTCAAACCTGCACATTTTTCACTTTGTAGTATTGCACAAATTTCGAATTGTCTAGATCTAGCGTTTTCAAAATAAAAAAACAATTTGAAATTAATATATCAATTATTTATAGTGATTAGCAAAGCAAAACAAGACCAAGACTTTCATGATCTCGCTCTTAGTTTTGGTTTTGCAACTTGCAGGAAAAACATCTGGAACAATTACATCTGAAATGTGTAAAGCCCGGTTTTATTTATGTGCACTTTTTAAAATTATTGGCTCTAATTTTATGTTCTCTTACTTAAAGTGAATCGTTCGAATGTTGTGCGATTTTATATTTAATGAATCATATTTAAGGGCTACGAGGGCAGATTTAATGCGAGGCTTAAGACCCAACTGGAGAACTAAACAACCACCTTAATATGACATTCAAACAGCAATCATATTTCAATAGTTCATCTCCCTTCTCAACAGGAATCCGATTCGGAATGCAGAAAAGAATGCCAAAAATTTCAAGAATCGGATCAGCGCATTCTTGAGCAACATTGACAAATATTTCAAGAATTTTTACTACGGCATTGATGGAATTTGACGTAGTAGCGCATTCCTCGGGACATCCCTGTGATTCCCTGTTCCTATTGGTCCGACGCCTCCCATTCGAATGGAAACTCCATTGAATAAGCTTGCGACGTTGACATTTTGAGGTTATTTCAACGATTTCGATTGATGTTGGTCATTTAATTGCAGTTATTAAACTTTTATCGATAGATTTATTACACATTTGCATGACTAGTTGACGACGAAACGTTGGAAGGTAAGTACAACCGGCACAAGTCCGTGTTTAATGGACGATAGTAAAGGGTTTCGAGTTAGGAACTGCCGGCACCAATACGCAAACTATAAATATGTAATACGCACCTATTTGTTGCATCCAGGTACTAGCGGAAATTAAAATTATCGAACTTGGTATTCCTATAGCTAATGAAACTAGTTTACCCAAAATTCCCACACGCATATTTATCGTGATGGCACTGAATAAATTAAAAAACAAAGTGTTCCGAGTGACTTCGCTTTGAGTGTTATTTAGGAACTCAAAAAGGATTTCCAACAACTGAAGTTCCACTAAAGGTGATAGACCAGTTGGTCTCTTATTTCCACGTCTATCGACTTCGAAGAATACAAATTCTGCCATTAAATCAAGTGAAAGATCCATGTTTTTAATGTTCGTAACCCGAGCAGTCAATAACTCAACTAAAAAACCACCCAATTAGTTACATTTAGTCCTAACTTTATTATCAATGAGAATTTATGTGATAAAAATTAACTTATAGGTACAATACCTATTTTTTTCAACGCTTCGTGTGCGCATAATGGATATTCCAATTTCCTCAAACTTTGCTTTAGATTTACGTCCGAAGATCCCGACATCATTAGCTTCTCTTGTTAATACTTAAAGAAATTAACTAAAGGACTTTGAGAAAGTTGAAAAGGTTCTTAATTATTTTGCTGTTTTGTTTAGATAAACAAACTGGACTTTGAGGTTACTGCATCAGAGTGCATTATCAAGCCGAATTTTTTGAGTTATGAATACCATGTGACGTCACAAAATCGGGCGAATTTTCCCAACCCTTCTTGCGTAGACGATTGCTGTTTGCAGATATTATGTGCTATCAAGCCGGTTATTTCATGAGTCTTGGTTAATATTTTCATAAAGGTACTTGAAAATTATATTAGTAAGAAGATTTGAGGAAATTGATTTTGAAATTTTGGATCCTCATCGTTCTGGAGATTTTTAAAGTTTCATTAAAAGTCAGGTCCTTCCAGTTTTAACAAAGTTCTTCTCACGCAATTCTTTCGACGCAAAAAGCGCATTATTATCTAAAGTTTTACTTTAAAATACTGACAATCTTCACGCATTTCCTGTGAAAAATTATAAATTACATTTTGTTGCAGCACTCGCCTCCTTAACAGCTTTTTAATAATAAATTTATAGTTTTGCATTTAAGTGCAGTTTGACGCTCTATATTTCGAAAACGAAACCTTTGCGGACCCATTTATATGTGGATTTTTTAGTCAAATGTGCCAGCAGGTTTAAAAGGTGAAAATAAATTCAATCAAATCGACCGCCCGGTGTTGTGACTCTAAATTCGTGTACCTGAACTGTCTTGCGTTGATCTATTCTTCTGCTCTATCAACTTTTGGGTTGGTAACGCTGGTTTGGCAGGTTAGTTTGGTTCATAGACCGCTTTGGTTTTTTTGGTTAAATCATGGAGTTGGGCTGTCCATGTGGTTTTTAACTACCATTTGATTGTGAGTTTTTCTGTAGTTAAAGATGAAACTGAACGTATCGTATCCTGCTACAGGATGTCAGAAGCTTTTCGAAGTAGTAGATGAACATAAAATTCGTATCTTCTACGAAAAGCGTATGGGACAAGAGGTGGAAGCTGACCCATTAGGCGATGAATGGAAAGGCTATGTCCTAAAGATCTCTGGGGGAAACGACAAGCAAGGTTTCCCCATGAAACAGGGGGTCCTCACGAACAGTCGTGTCCGATTGTTGTTGTCGACAGGGCACTCATGCTACAGACCCAGACGACAAGGTGAGCGCAAAAGGAAATCAGTCCGTGGATGCATTGTGGACGGCAATTTGGCCGTGATCGCCCTGGTTGTGGTACGTAAAGGGGAGCAGGAAATCCCTGGACTCACCGACACCACGGTGCCCCGTCGACTTGGGCCGAAACGAGCCTCCCATATTCGTAAGCTGTTCAACTTGAACAAGGACGACGATGTAAGACAATACGTTGTCAAGCGCCCACTTCCATTGAAGGAGGGCAAGAAGCAGCGCTACAAGGCTCCCAAGATTCAGCGTTTGGTGACTCCGGTGGTTGTGCAGAGGAAGCGTCATCGTTTGGCCCTGAAGAAGAAGAGGTGCCTCAAACGCAAGGAGGAAGCTGATAACTATGCCAAGTTATTGGCACAGCGGAAGAAGGAATCCAAAGCGAAGAAAGAGGAGGCCAAAAGGCGCCGTTCGGCCAGCACCAGGGACAGCCGTTCGAGCATTAATAGCAAATAAAGTGCATAATACAGTTTGTGGACATTTCAACAGCACAACTCGTTGTACTTTCCTCAAATAAAACAACCAAACACGAATATGCAGGGTGTTTTTAATTACCTTACCAACTTAGCATTTACTTTTATATGGGTAGTATCCTTCCACCCCCTAGAGTATATTTATAATTACTCCACAAAACTTGTAATATATTGGATCTGATCCAACTTTTTAATAAAGTTTAAATAAGTTCTTTTTAATAATGCCTTGTGCCACTTTCATACCTTTGAGAGCATTACTAAGTTCACTACTTTTAACCCGTACGATAGTCGCTAACAGCTTTTAGTGGCTTTGAAATTTCAAATTCATTTATTCATGGCATTACTTGTCGATTTAGCATATAAATCAGAACGATAGAGATAAGAGGTGGCAAATATGAGCTTTTTGGTCGAACTGTAAATGCAAAAAAGTACCAACAAATTTTATCCAAGTTCAATTCCAACTGTGGAACAATATCTTGGAATTAAAAATTGCATATTTGAACTGGATGGTGAGCTGTTACACACAGCTAAAACGACCAAAAGTGGTTTGAAGATCATAATTTCAAAGTTTTATAGTGGCTCTCAAGCAGTCCGGACTTGACTGTTATTGAAACTTTACGGCATCAAATGAAGAAATCATTGCGTAACGATCCTCAGCGAACAGTTCCGGGATTAAGGGAAAAAAACACTGAAATTTGGAATTCGCTCACCCCCGAATATTGCCAGACTCTAGTTGACTCAAAGACAAAACGTATAAAAGCCGGAAGGTGATGTTAATGCGTCCGTATATTTATTAGTCAGTAAGTTTGTTACATATTCGCTACAGAGAAAAAGCCTCTATGCTGCGTAAATGGCCAATCAATTCAATTTTCAGAAGAAGAAACAAAAAATATATTTAAAGTAAATATAAATGGTTTATTTTCTACTCATTGAGCATCGTCCGAACATATAGTTGTTAGGGCTCATAGATCGCAAGGAGACAATTTTTCCCCAAAATTTTTATGAACGTCACAAGATTTTACAAAGCGATATTCCAGCGACCAAATTAAAACTTTTGGTAATTTGTATACAAAGATACTCAAGAATTCACCACTTGCCCAAAGACGATGAACTCAGTTGCATCATCAAAATATGCTTGATTGCCCCTGAAAAATTCATTTCAGGGGCAGTCAGACATTTTTTCTTAATAAATGCTAGATCAGATTGTCTTCTTCTGTTACACATTAAACTGATCAATTTTTAGAATTTGTAAATCCCATAGATATACGAACTGGACATTAGTCACCTGCAAATTTGTCTGAAATATTGAATCATTATTTAAAAATCTGCAACAGTGTCTTGATATTTGAGATTCAGAAATAATAATTCTGATTTTAAACATGTAGGGAATTATCTTCGATACCTTTTACTTACTCTTTAGATTTAATCCCCTTAATACTACTATTTTGTTAAGTAAAACCTGTGTCTGATGTGATATATCATTTTATTAATAAATTAATCATACAAAATATCAAAACAGCGCAATTATTAATTAATATAATGTACCTCACTTAAAAAATATATAAAATTTAATGATCCTGTTCCAAACCGCAAAATTACTTTACATCAGTCATGGTAATGTTGTGCAATGGGTGCCACATATGCCTAAACTTAACACTGAGAATATCATGTTAATGACCTAAAAATTTACGAATACTGTTATCACTGGGTGAGCTTTCTGGGCGAAAATTAATATATAAACTGCAATGTTCTTTGAATTTTTAAATTGGTTTTACTGTGTCTGATTGGATTGGCACAATGCGTACATTATTCAGACCTGCTTCAACCTGTAGATAAATCATGGTTTTATAACAAGTGAAGAATTTAACAGACATTTTCAAACTCCTTATGTTTGTCAATCTTCTAATCACCATCAGCTTCCATTACAGGTTGCTCAAAGTTATTTGATTTGTACTATGTGCTGTTGGGGCATTTTTTCAAAACATTCACTGGGTATAAACTATTTGATAATATACTATTCAGTTGACAACAATAATTACAAATAATCCATGTTTCAACTCCATTAATTCCAGCTTCACATAGCTTCTCAAAAATCAATCGATCACTGAATTGGGCAGTCTTGGATTATGCTGCTCTAAAATTGTTGGTTTTAGGCGATTTAATAACTGATAATTGCATAGACCCACTTATTATGCTTCCTGGCCAGTCTGATAGGGAAAAAACATTGTCTAGTGTCATTTTAAATAAATTAGTTGCACTATATTGCACAACACATAAGAAATACTCACAAATATAAACGCAAAAGACTGAAGCACTATGAACGATAAATATATGTTCGTAAGTATAAAAAAGCACACACACAGTTACGCAAAACGAATTGTAACAGAAGATAATAGGAAAATACACAAAATAGGCCACTTATGCAAACAGTAATTCATTCCCGTAGAGATAGAATCATAATATCAATTACTTCTTCCACATTCCGTATTTATTTATCGTTGTGCTCAATTATTGGAGACCACTATTACCCTTACTTTCATCATTTGAACATTATGGTGTTAGTCAGAAAATGAGATTTATGAAAAAACGTGCTGATCGAAGGGTTTGATTGAACCATTGAACCATCTCATAACTTGTAGATATATTTATCCCTTTACAGGTAAAGGCTCGCAAATTGGCAATAGTCATCTCATTTTCCGACCAGCTAAATAAATCTTTAACATCTTATACTTCATAGAATCTCTCTATATTACATGTCATTGTACTTTAAAAGTGAGTAGATAATTGTAACCCATTAATAAATAGATAAAGAAAGTAAAATTTGTCCGCACTTCACATTATATGCCACACATGGCAAGTAAATGCATACGGAACTATAGAGGAAGAGAGTTTGTTTAGAGAACACTGGAATTATACATGCGGGTAAGTATCACAAATACAATGTGTTCGGACATATTTTGCTTGCGATTTGAAAATTATTTGATATGGTTTGACAGTTTTTACGCAATTGATATTCGACTAATAAATTGCATCGAAACAAAATGTTAAAGTCTAGGAACATTCAAATTTATTAGCACTGTTTCTGCATATACAATTGATTGTAAAAGTAAGAACAGATGACTGAATCAATGCGTTATTGTCAAACCACAAATCAAATTTTTCTAAGGCCGTATTCACAGATCAAACGATATCCTTGCAACTTTAAAGTTTGGCATGTTAATAAGGTGTTGAGGCCTCTGAACAAGTCGAATCCTGTCTACAACTTAATGAATGTTGCAGTGCCATTGGAGTTAGCCATTCTTTGGGTAGGCAGCGCTCAAGAAATGGCACCCAACTGCTAAAGTATGCTAGGCGGTTGACCCACGGAGGAATATCTTGTCCGCTTACAATCTAGAGAATATGTAATAGGGACTTCAACATTGTGAAAACACATGTCGCACAATCTACGAAGTTTTGAAGCAAACCGGAATTTTGGTACACCTACTAAACTGTTTTACTTTTGGGTCAAGAGCATTCGACAGATTAGGTCATTATTAGGCCCGATGTCTATAAACTTCTGCAAAGTATGCATGCTTTGTAAGTAAAAGTAAAAAGGTCGTTAGTAGCCAAATTCTCAATTAAAATAAAAGTATAGGCATCTAAGTACCTGAACACTTCACGCATAATAATTACAATTACAACAAAGCACCTACATTGAAAATACAACTTCAACCTTCGGAATACCTGCAGGTTTTTCTGTATATTAACTCTATTCGACTCAATGGTTAGTGATTATCTATAGGGGTATTTACCTTTGTAAATGATCCTGAAAAATGATTGCAGTTGTTATTCATTAAGTGATATCTATCTCCTCGAAATTCCTTTCCTAATTCACTAACAATTCTTCTAACTTCCTCTTCAGTGAAATCCGTGTAACCAATTTGCACTGTCTGTCTGATAAAGGAATAAGTTGTTACAACCCCGTATATTAGCTATTATAATACTATTAAGCGTTATAATCGCTTAACAATAAATTGAAGAAAACCGCAAGATTTGCTCTGTGGGGTTCAACCGACGGTCTGCATCACTTACCTAAATCTAAATTGATCTCCTAATTCTTTTTCGTCTCTAGGGTTAATTTCAAATATACCGGTGAAAGGATATTGGTGACCACCATACGCATATTCGCTGTTATAGATTTCTACCCCTGAAACCAATCTTTGCTAATGAAAAAGTACGTGCTAACGAAAACTATGATGATTTTTCTAGGAAAACTTATTTAGTGCTACCCAGTTTATTTAGCCAATGCCAGTTTAACGTACGTATAACAAGAAAGTTACAAAATGCATGTTACGTTTGTCTTTTATTATTTTACACTTTATATGAGTATTTTACCTGAGTGGAACACTCCTAGGCCGATATTAGAGGTGTATTCATTAATTTTATACATATCATAAACATTCAGCAACACAGGCTCGCGAGCCATTCTCGCGGGAAGTAGTTCATCAGATGCAGAATCTCTAGTAACACTCATACAACTAAAGGGCAGGTTACAGGAAATCCCATTCGAAAACATCCTGAAAGGTCTGCAGTTGTTGTAGCTAACAAAGACACTGAACAGTTCACTTACCCTAGCAAATTAGACGATCAAAACAATGAGGAAATATACAGAACGGATTTGCTTTAATAAACTTGCATATCAATGCACTTGATTAATTTATCGACTCTTCCCGCCGGGATGATTAATTTACTGATAATTTTAATGATAATGCTGTTATTCAAAGGTTATCTTTTCGGCAGGAATTCTTTTGCCATGGTGACAGTGACATTGACACTACAGATCACAGAGATTGCAATCTCTGTTGTGATTGCCCAGCGTTGGCAACCAACCGTCATAGTAGTTTTCGATACGGGGCGAAAAGTGTCGTTTTCCCACCGACGGTGGCGTTTGACACCCGAGACGAAGTCGAGGGTGTCAATCAGTCTAGATTTCGAAAAACGGATTTTCGCCGTTGCATCGAAAAATATTTATAATTCGAATAAAGGACATAACACGAATCATAAGTTATAATAAATAAAAATAGCCAAAAATAAAAGGTGTCAGCTAAAGGAAGCTATTTGAAAGCACACACGTAACTGATCATTAGAAACAGCATTTAAAAGAATACTTAAAGCATCGGAAAGCTATTAATCACAACATAGGATCAATTTGAACAAAATTTTTAACTAATAGAATGTTGAAACACGTGAAAATATGACCGTGAGAATATGAAAATATGAATTGATGAAAACTGCCACTTGAAAGCATACGATAACGAACAAGTAAAATGCGGTTGTTTAATCGCGGTTGTTTCCATTGTGACGTCAGTTAGTGATTAAGCGAGTTTAAAGTCCAACGCCCACTGGCGGCTAAATTTTAACTACACTTTAACCAGTAAAACTAGGCACTTATTTTAATTAGATGCCATTGTGACTTATTTTGTTTAGTTCTACTCAACTTTTGCAAGCCTTTAAACAGATAGAAACATATTGAAAAGTGTAAGTATTATTTTAAATTATAGACTCAAAAACAAAGCAAAAAATATGGGATATGAACCCGGGAATAAAGTTTCAAGAAAGTCATTTTCATCACAGATCACCTGAACTCATGATGTTCACATTCATAGTCATTTTAATTATGCTATTTAGCTAGTTCTTCTGGGCTTTAGTTCGTGTTTCACAGTTAATTAACAGCACAATTAAACGGCAACCTCAAGTGTTTGAAATATAAGTGAAACTTAGGTTCAAATAGCGGAGATTCTAGAGTGAATTACATTTTTTCACAAAATTTGTCTTATATAACCGGTAAAGAAGTTTTCTGCAGTGTGGGGGGCGCGAATTCGAACTTAATTTGCGATGCAGCCACTGAAATAAGCGCCGAATAGCTTTTGACAGATTTTTAATCCCATTTTCACTCTTTAACTTCGGTTTTCTGTCACATTTAACGCGAGACGCCCACAGAACATCTCCCCTTAGAATTGAAACTAAAATGTTAAATTTTGAATATACGTTTAGCGCCCCTGACGGTGACGCGCGTAAAACTCGACAAAGAGACAAGTACTTGTCTCTGATCAAATACATTATCACGAAATCAGTTACAACCACATTTTTTGCAATTTTCACTCATGATACAATATATACGAATACAGGAAAGGATATTCATCCGTCGAAAACTGGAATTTCGTGCGCACATGACGTCACTGGTTAGCACTTTGGTAAAGTGAACAGCTAATCCCATTTAAAATGCATTTAACCTAAACAGATTTTCATTGAATTTAAAACGCAATAGTTCAAAAGTGGAAAGTTATATGAGGATATGGTTTGCAGTTTTGTATAGCTCGATGCTTTCAAAATCGGGTTTGAGACCTGATTTGGGCTTATTGCGAAGAAAAATACCATAAAAAAGTCGTTACAAAATATCTGATTATCAGCGTTTTAGCTTGCTGTGTTGCCAGAGTGTCATTCGTAAAATCGGGTAGAGCCAAAGCAATCCCAGCTAAGGGTGAATGAGTTTTGGGAGTGTTTGGGAATTTTGTAGACCAACAACTGATCATTTTGCGTTTGGTAGTTGGAAAGTGTAATGTAGAATGCTTGCTACTTTTAAGTGTAGGTTCAGAAAAATAAAAAATGCGGTGTGCAGTTTACGGTTGCAATAGTAATACGAGAGCTAAATTTCTGGAAATAAAGTTTCATAGATTTTCAAAAGACTGTATTTTAAGCAAGCTATGGGAGAATGCTTGTTGTCGTGCGGACACCATTAATGTTGCCTCCGCCAGCATATGCTCTCAGCATTTCAAAAATGATGATTATGAGAGGAATTTGCGATTCGAACTTTTGTGGTACTTGCCAAAATCAAACGCCATACTTTATTGCACATCCGGCAACTATGCTATTCTACAAAGTAAATAATTTTTTGTTACTTCTCATTTTCAAGTTTAAAACCTGCTGAAAAACATTTTGTAATAATTATAACGAAGTTTTATAAAAAAATAATTAAATGTGACAAAGACTAAATAAGCTATATTTAATCACATTTAGCAGACAGGAAAAAATCTCGACACGCAGTGTTCACCTTCACTCGGTCAGATACAACAGATGCCCCATCTAGCGGTGCCCCGCGTCCAAGGAGCACATCAACTTAGCCCAATTTATTTACCATTCTAACGGGGGATATTTTCTGGAGACGCCATTTGTAAAAGTTGCTAATTGCGCGTGGCTTGACAGCTATTTTTGTTTTGTAAGTGAATTTATCAGAAAAGTTTGTGTTTTTGTGTGAATTGTCGAAATCATGGATCCGGAGAAACTCAAGGTTGTTGATTTACGCAAAGAATTGCAGCAAAGATGTTTGGATACGAAAGGAAATAAGGCGGTGCTTGTAAAACGCTTGAAAGAGGCTTTGGATGCTGAAGCTGGGAAAGGTTGGTTCTAGCGCCGTATACACTTTCTATGTTATTAAGCTCCCGTAATTTACTAGATACAGTGTTTTATTGACGGTTAAATGTTGATTATCTGTTGTTACCTCATGCCGGTTTGGAGAATCATCGACACAATTAAAATTGGCATTGTGATACATTAATACAAACAGCATTGTCAACAATCACCCACAAACTTTTCCTATTTATTTGTAGCAATTACGCAATATTTACAATAAGTAAATATGGTATACCGTAAATAGTAATTGCTCTCTATTTTAGTTCCCTGCTTTTATTATTTCACATGCAGCCATGTTTCGCGTTCCTTTTCATTTTCCCTTAAAGTACACTTAAAGTAAAGTAGTTTCAGTGTGAAAAAAATGCGGACCGACCATAGAATCATGCTAGAAAATATTTATAAACTAATAAGATCCATATTTATGCTAAACTTTGTGCAGCATTGCCAGACTACATAGAACGTTACATGTAAATGGAATAGTATTCGCGAGTTCAACTACCTATGGTGGCGCTGCGCAACGTCAAATTAATCGTCGCGTGACAGTTGAGACTTGTTTATTTATTGGAGTTGATAACATCATTATAAATGTCACGAACTCCAATAAATAAACAAGTCTCAACTGTCACTCGACAACGAGTAATTTGACGTTTCGCAGCGCAACCAACGGTAGTTGAACTCGCGATTTGGACGCTTAAATTTTAAGATGCGTTGAATTCTAACTAAACTAATCCAATACTTAAAGGGAATTTCCCTTCTCGCAAAGTGCAAGTACAAATAATTATGCGCATGCACTAAATTAAAAATTATCTTCTTATGGACTGTGAAACATTCAAAATTTTGTTGGATTTTGTCTCACAAATCATTTTGTTCAATTATTCTAAAATAGGAAAGATTATCGTCACTCAACTTGAATAAATGGAAACCTTATAATTCCAGGTATCTCAAACCCAATTATTAGCAAAATAAATTACTCAAATAGTAGAGATAAAATGTGAAATAAAGACACCAAAATGTTTACAGCATAAGTTAAAAACAACAACCTACAAAAAGTAAAAGTTTCAAGATTAATACGAAGTAGGTATATTTTCACTGTATTTAATACAATACATCTTCATTTATAATTATTTATTTATAATTCGTATTGTGTTTATTTTCTTGCCTTAAATCACGCGCGAAAATTACAAGTTTGAAGTGGGTTACCACAACGCAAATCCTGCAGATTTTAACGTGCAAATCAATTTTTCATCAATCATCAATTTAAGATCAAACTTACGATCACATAAATTTTAAAGCGAGTGCTACGTGGTTTGATAAATTTAAAAACCGATATAGGACTCGATAACTGTCCACCACAGGCGAACATTTATCCAATTATTAACCATCCGGGAAATGCAGTTTTTGCATCAAATCTATAATGCAAACCAAAGTGGCCTTCTCGGTTTGAACTGTGGCTCTGTTTGAATTCCTATGTTTCGGATTATATTAACTGAGCTAATTAGAAATCTTAGAAACCACATAGGTTTGTGCGTAAATTGTCGAATGTAAATTTCCAGGTAAACCCATAAAAACGGATCCGTCAGAAATTACTGATAGTATTCAACATGAGCTGACGGTTAAAGTAGAACCGTTAAAAGATCCCAAAACTCCAAAAAAGACACCCCTTAAAGATACTCCCACGACAACTGTGAAAACACCAGTAGCAACTCCGGAAAAATCTGTAATTGAACCAGTCATTAAAAGTGAAGAACTTATAACTCCAGAGAAGGATATAAAGGTAGGTTGGTAGATTTTATTTGCATCGAATTCTGTATAAGAACATTAATTAACACATTGTATGAAGAATTTGAAACTACTTCTGAAATATTTAAACAGTTACTGGCAGTAATATTAACAACAAACACAATACCTCAAAACTTCTTTGAATTAGATCGTATGCCGATTGTGACGAATAACTTACTTATTAGGTGGAACTGCAGACTCCCTTGCCAATTACACAAAATGTCAAAGAAGTTAGCAAAACTCCAGAAAAAGTTGTCAAGGTAGGTTACAGGGCAATCTGTATCACTAATATAAAATTTGTACTCAACGTACGCTTTCAATTCGATGAGAAAACTATAATCCGGTTGAAGCGTGGTTTCAACCGGAATTCAACCCGATTAAACATCATTGGTCGGTACGAAACTGTTGTTGGAACAAATAAAAAACTCCGAATTTGAATAACATATTGATACATCACATTGCTTAATAGTTGGAACCCCAAACACCTGCACCACTTGCAACGGCTATACAGGTTGAAACTTCGACAGATCAGCAACCGGAAAATGTAAGCTTGTTAATTCCACTTTGCATTTGTTCACATCTCTCTAATATTAGAAGTTATTTTCACCTGCATCTATTCTTAATAATCAGATTAATTTTGATAAGGTTGATGATCAGGAGGTTGTGGAAGAGAGCGTGGCGATGGAAACTGAGACAAGAGGTGAAAAGAGAAAACGCGAAGACGATGATGAAGATGTTGAGTCCATTGAGAAGAAGCGTAGGGAGGATTCCCCAGTCAAATCTCCGGAGAAACCCCTTGATCAATCTTCGTCAAAACCAGAAGTAAAATCACCTCCAATTGTGGAAGCTTTGAAGATACCCATCAAAGAAGATGAACCGGAAATTGATTATGAAAAGCCTCAGTTAAGTTGGTGTAAGTGAAAAGTACTAATTTCATGTAAAAAAAATATTTCCTTAATGGGCCTTTAATTTCAGTTGACTCTGACTTGCATCTTAACATTGACAAAGAGACATTCTTGTCAGCCAAACCGTTGAATGACGGTTGCTTTGGATACATTTGGGCTGGGGCCCGAGCCACTCACGGGATTTCTTCAGGAAAGGTTAGGAAATAATAATAACTAGTTACTTAACTAAATTTCTTTGATTGCCTCCTAATTTTACGAGTTTTAACGCATTAGAGGCAGTTAATTTTGCATGTTATTTGTAGCATATAAACATTTATAACTAAACTTACTTTACAGATTTGCTTCGAGGTTAAAATTACCGAAGAACTTAAGTGGGATGACATGACCGAGAAAATGCTTGATAAGTCAGTAGTTAAGGATAAATATAAGATCGATCGCCGCAAGGACAAGGACCAACCAAAATTAACGGATACTAAAAATGACACAGAAAAACAAGAAGAAGACAAGCCAAAAGAAGATGTTCCCGATGATACACAAACAGAGGAACTGGTAAGAATTTTAGATATTTTTGGATATTTAACATTAATTTCATTCACTCTTTCAATATATATTTAGTAATTGTGTATCTTGATTATTTCTAGAGCAAGGATGAAAAGGAGCAAAACGGGGACTGCAACGAGACTAAAGAAGAAACGTCCAATAACGATCTGAAGTCGGAAACTGCGGAACCATCTGACGAAGTTTCAAAAGATGCTGAAAAGGTAACTTTTTGATAATAAAATAATTCAGTTCAAGCATAATGATATTTTTCCATTTATGTAATTTCTAATATCTGCAATGGCAATTTAGACAGAAGAAAGTAAAGACGAAGTAGCACAGGTAGAGCAGGCAGCCTCCGAAGTCACTAAATTCGAACCCATACCGTCCCATTACTTTCGTGTCGGATTTTCTTTGGCCGGCACATCTTTGCAATTGGGCGAAGCGCCACATTCATTCGCATATGAATCCACTGGAAGATTTGTCACTAACAATGATTATCAAGAATACGGAAGCACCTTTGGAATTGGCGACGTGGTCGGCGCTTACTTGGTATGCCAATTTCTATCAATATTTTAATCGATTCTGATTGAGTTTTATTTCAGAGTATTGATAACGAGAACGCAATTATCACATTTACTGTCAATGGTATCGCACAACCCACCGCTATCACGGTCCCTAGGTCAGAATTTCCGGAAGACTTGGCTTTATTTCCGCATGTTCTATGTAGAAATTACGCATATGAGCTTAATTTCGGAGCTAATGAGACACCATGGTTTCCACATCCGGAGGAATTAAAGGATTATGAATTTCTACAAGATGTGCAGGATAAAGTGTCTGGACCAAAAAGGCCTGACAAACGGGAAGAGTGTGAGGTATTTATATTTTTTTCCCACTTTTAGTGTTCTTACCATCTGATCCGCGCAGCAATTCGTAAAATAAAGATATTAGAAGTACGCTCATAATGTGTACATTGAAAAAAGCAAACTATTTATTTTCTGTAATATTTCGCTGTCTAAAATATTCATTGTGTTTATTAGGTTATTCTTATGATTGGATTGCCTGGATCTGGAAAAACGCATTGGGTGAAAAATTATCTTGAGTCAAATCCGGATAAAAAATACACAATAATTGGAAATAATGCATTGTTTGATAGAATGACGGTAAATATACAAGTGCCAATTAGGTAATCCAACGTAATTAAATTATCGTTTCCTTTTCGAAGGTGGATGGTCAGACGCTAAAATCGCGTTTTAACGGTTCCTGGAAGATACTGGTAGATCGGGCGCAAAAATGTCTAAATCTGCTAACTGACAAAGGATCTCTGCGACGACGGAACTATATTATAGATCAGGTAACCTTTTATAGCATTACAACTTGGGTAATGGTAAGTCTAGTCTTTAGGTTTAATGCTAAGTATTTCAAACCAATAGTTCTGGTGAGTATCAACATTTTCAGCTGTACAGGACGAGAAAGCGGTGCTTATTTTAAGGTATAGTTTTAATTTTAGTCGTTGCGAGAACGTCGAGGGATTCAATTCCTAGTAAGCATCATTTTTTACAATTTTAAGACTTGAATGTTCATTACTTGTTTCATTTACATCTTATGGCGTTCGAAAGCGTATCAAATTTTATGTTAAAAAATGATATGAAAGACATCAAATAATTATTAGAAAACATTGACATTGCAAATAATTTTCAACGTACAACATGGCAATTTGTAGGTGAAAAAATTGAGAATGTGTTGATTTTCCCACGGCTTACTGCAATGCGCTCGTTCAATTGTTCGGGGACATTAAAAAAAATATTTTTTAGGAAAATACGCACTGGCAAACAACTATACAAGCAAATCTGAATGTAATGTGCATCATATTATAAATGGCACATTTATACTGTCCTAGAAAACTAAAAAGGCGCTTATCCTATTAACCGGCTAGCGCGTAGTTTGAACAAATTAATAGAATTTAAAATTAAGCATTCAATAAAACAATTTACGAGTGTTATAAGAAGAAACTGCACGTTTTACAAGAGATAGTTCAACATATTTAAAACGTGAATTTTTACTTATACGAGACGATTTAAAATCCTAGAACCTACTTGAGAAGGCTAAATATCGAAAAAAATGTGCACATGTAACTTTGTTCTTATGGGAAATATCAGGATTAAGTCGTTCCAAGTACCCTTTTGTTATATTACGAAAGGCATCAATGCAAGAAGCAGTACCGGATCTCGATAACAAAATGTTCTATCGAAACCAATCGATTTAGGATTTAAGAAATTCTGTGCCAGTGTGAACAAGATTCTGACGGCAATTTTCAAGATAAAGTTGAAACTTGGCCCACAATTGGACCAGATTCTCACGGGATCACAATTATCCAGATTTCAGTCGGGCTATAAATATTGTGAACATAATCGCAAACGGGTGAGTGTTCGTTGATGTTTCATAAGAAAATTATTCAACCATGTATTTTAATCGCGGTAAAAAAGCGGACTGGTCAATTTGAATATGAATTTAGCAATATCAGGTTCGTTTGGAAGAAATTACGTCGGACAGACCATATTTATAGTCTGTCGGGTCCGACCACAATCCTCCAGATTTTCATTGATTGGGTGTCCGCTGATAGTATTACGTATTATATAGTATTATAGTATTAGTTAGGCGACATTGGTCTTAAATTGACGCCAAAACCGGCAATTGCATATTGCTTTCTATGATAAGCGAGTACAAGAACTTCGTCCTTACTTCATGACTTTCACTATAGTTCGTCATCAGTCTAATAGTGAACTTGATGCTTGCTAGGAATTCGTAAACTTTAAGTGAAAACAGGTAGGTTTTCAAAATTTTGTTGTGGCAGTTAACATGGGTACTAAAATTTAAGTAACCATATTTTACGTCCCACCTGATCAAGCCAGTGGAGCTGATCACCTTCAAACTATTGTACGGTACAAAAATGAAGTCGCACATACAAGCCAACGAGCAAAGGTTGTACCATACAAAAAACTACTAGTTTTAATGAAGACATTTGCAAGGATTTGCAGCTAATTTATAAGACCATGTTATTCATACTGCCAAGTTACACTTTGAATTCTATTTAAGCACATAGAAGTGTGCGTTAGTCTGTAAGGGTAGATCTGCCACATTCGTGTCGGATGGAAAATGTTTTGGCGGTAGCATTGCAGTTGAGTTGATGAGATAAGACCGGTTACTAACATGTATATTTTGATCATGACTTGATTTTGTTTATTTAGGTAATTATGGCTACGCAGTAGTCTTGGAGATAGTCCCGGTGATGCATTAAGAAAGATGATCATCTATTTAATTTAGGTAATGACTCCGCACGAGTCGTGCATTAGTATTTGGCTATTCGAAACATACATTTTAAATGTTCGATATTTTTTTAAATAAAAAAATGAATGTTACGTAGTCATGACAAATGAAATTTGGAGTTAGAAGAATCTCCTTTATTAGCTGTTTCCAGTGGAAAGTTTAATCCTGAGCTTTTATAGCTTCATCACGTGGCGAAAGGTTTTTTGGATTACATGACTATTTAATTTACTAGATATTCTGTTGGCTCACAGCTATAGTTTTACGATTTCTTGATGAGCGATCCAATTGAAAATAAATCACATATGATTTACTTGATATTGTCGATTAATTCATTTATGATGAAGTTGACCAAAAATTCATATCTAATGTGAACAGTAAAATATTCAGTAAAACAACAGAAGTCATTTGACTTCGCGTATTAGTGACAAAACGAAGTGAATGAATTATTAATGTTTTGCTCTTGCTCATAAAAACAGTAGAGCATCTGAAATTCAAGAAGTCACTGGAAATATTGAAAAATGATACGAAATTCGCAGACACTGTGAATCAATGCACAATACTTTAACGATAAAATAAATAATACTATTCGGTTTTGGTAAATATACTTGAACGTGTGACAGTATGCTTGGATGGCGGGAAGGAACCATTCGGCAGCTAGTGCGATAAAGAACATTGTGCGTAACGCTCCCAATAATATTTCTGTCATTCTTTTTTATTATAAAATCCAAATTGATCATAGAAAAACAGACTGAATTATAGCGTCAGCATTGAGAGGATCAGATAAATGAAAATACAGTCCACTAATATATAAAATCGCATAATATAAAATAAAACAACGCAATGTTTACGAACTAGAACGTTGCACGATTATTTTCGCGTTATATCTAAAACAGTCGTGAACATCTTATATGAAGCTGAAGTCTACGGATATTTTCTAGTCATTAAATAGGTCGTGTTTTCCATTACAAATAAATATATTGACTTTTTTGTTAGTATTTTTGTAGGAGTCCTCATATAGCCCTGCAGGGGTTGACCACAACTGTATATAATTCGGGATCAGTCTTACCATACAAAAAAAGAGCAGTCATTGTAGGTATTAACCATTAGTTGCTTTAAAAGATATCTACTGACGATGTTCGTCAAGTAAAAATGCATATGAAGTCGTAAGTATGACATAATTTTAGCTGTAGGTTGTACACATTGACTTTCTCCGCAAAATTGTGGTTTTTAATATGGAGGGTAGAGACCTTTCAATATATATATAACTTAATATTTTAAACGGATGTGGCAGATTTTATGTATAGAAACTAATTATTCCCATAACCGTGTCGAACTCGCTTTAAAACTGCAATGCGCCCGCTCTCAACATTACTTTCATCTGATGCACTCAAAGTACTTTAATAAAAGACGCGTTGTGTCGGCGATAATTAAATTCTGAGCGTCTTGTGGCAGACGAACTTGTTCCCGAACGCACAGCGGCGCAAACTGCGCTCCTTCGAGGGTTTCAAGAGAAAGGCTGTTATAGTAGTTTGCGAGGACGATGAGCACGCCCGTAGACAAAAGGACCAGCAGAACGACTTTGGTAAAATAGTACCCGAAAGCACCATGTATGATCTTAAAGGTATCTAACCGATAAAGTTTAATCTTCAAAATTATTGCCATGTCAAATTTTTGACTATATTTTGTCAATTTAAATGAGTGCTTACTTTCATAGCCTATTTTACATTATGCCAAGTTTTTTTTTTCTTTTTTAGAGATTGCTTACGATTGATTGGTGGCTGACGGCTCGATTCAACTAATATAAGTAAATCCATGGCAATAATTCTGAACTAATTGAGTGACTATATTTTCTATTATCTGTGTTTAGCTCTGTTCGTATTTTATTTTGTTTTTATGTTGATCATAACCATTTTTTATTGTCCGATCCTAAACTGAATTTTGAATGGATGTGTATTGTCTCATTTAAAAGTTAACTTTTTCTTAAAAGCAAATTCCAGTCTTATCAGTGAAAGAATTCTCAGGGTTTGCAACGATTCCTATTTGTGGTTAAAAAGTCATAGTTTTGCATTATTAGGCGTTTTGAGTTGGAGAACTTGGATCATCAATTTATTCAAATTGCCCCGACTATTCAAACCAATTCATGGGAAAATAATGTTGCTAACTTTAAAAAAATTTCGCATGTTGACTTTGAATGAACAGAATCGCACTTAAAGTACGCATCTCTTGTTATATATAGAGTGATTCAAATCTGGAGAGTACGGAACTAAAAAATCAGTTTATTTCTCGAAGATATTAGCTCTTGAAAATGCGATGGTCAATCGGCATACTTGCGTTGCGAATCTTACTTAACTTTATTTACACGCGGCAGTTACGACCGACTTTAACACTATTTACAATTAATAATAAAAATAATAATAATATTGCTTTTTTTCAAATCATGGGCAAACACAAAATGAAATGACATCAAAAAGGGCTCACAGTTTCACACATCGGGACAAAACTCTCTTAAACTATAGAGTTCCAAACCTATTACCAAATTTTTAATTTCCGTTTTGTACAATTGTTGGGAAGAAATACCTTTTATTCTGGCTGGGAGATTAATAACTTTACTGTAAATAACGCGAAATAATTTCATTCTGAATCAGAATATGCGATAATGTTCTCATTAGTTAAGAATTTTTGTTCTTTTTCGGCATTTCGATTTGTGGTCGAAAAACATCACCTTAAAGAACAATTTATTGATATTACGAGGAAATAAAAAAGCAATAATCTGCACCTCGACTATGCCTCTTAAACCAATTAATGATGATGACTACGGTTAAAAAAAATACCGATTTCGTAAAGTTCTACATGTGATACTTATTTACGAAAAAAATAATATGCGGCCTTGCAAAGACATACCCGGACCGAAAACTAATAAGAAACTATAAAGTTGAAGAAGCGTTCAGACGAAACATGATTTTCAATTTGAAACACTTCCTTCAAAATGTGAAAGAGCGATCTCAAAAAATATTTAGCTTCAGCAGAAACTTAGCCTAGGGTGACCGAAAACTTGGATATCTTTCAAGACCTGCAATACACGTATTTTTTTCTACGATAAGAATATTTTGAGGCAAGGAGAAACGGGATCTTTTAATTTAATCGTGTGCAACATTTGTTGCTTCAGGTCTTTCGGTGCGTATACATTTGGCCCATTTTCTGTAAAATAGCAAACTAAAAGTTATCGATTCGTGGCGATTTTTTATTCGTCGTAAAGTGTTCAGCTGGTGAAATAATAATTTGTGGTAGTTTGAGACTCCACAAGGAATGAAACTAAGATACTTTCAACACGATTCTTTGATGATGCATAAAAGCCAATTGTTTTCGATCGTTTTTACATCGTACATTATACGTTCGTACTGCACTTACGTTTTTACAACCCAAATTACTCGAATTGCAGGAAGAAGTCCCACTTTATTTAAAAATGAAGATGTTTTTTTATCCACAGTGGAGTTCCACTATATTGTAATCGCCCTACGTGTGGAGGAAGTTTTGTCAGAATTGGTGAATTAATCATTGAATACTTGGCCATTCAGAAACAGGGTCTTTGATCCTTTAGATTTTTCTCTTCGGTGAGAGCAGTTTCTTCTCTCTTGTAACAAATAACAAAAATGAAAAAAAATATATCGCTTTAATAATCGCCTTTATCGTTGAATTATATTGTTGAATCTCCCAGTATATTGTCGAATTTCGAACAAAACATATTACCCGTACCCGTATACGCCAATCTACGGAAAATTTGCCTTTATTTCGTACTGGACGGATACTGTTGTCGGTTAGAATTATAATTTCCCATTGATAAAGAATCACTCTGTATATTACGTGTTCTAAAATTATAATATTGACAAGTAGATTGTTTAGCGACTTGATAATGTCGTTCTATTGGAAAAGCTCTGGATTTCTGGTTTGGTTCAATTTTTCATTACACCATTTGCAATATGCAATATAGAAATTGTCTATTGGTACTAATTAAGATTCTCGTAAACTCTCATATAATTTATTATTGATGAATTTAATTTCTTTTCTAATGTGGATTTCATTATAGAATTTCCTTGGAACTAATGGGATTGTGTAGTTGTCTTCTGGTCAAAATCACTTTTTTCTTTGGAACTTTTAATCAAAGATTCATCGTTCTTACTTACTTTGACTTTTATCATTTAACTGAATTATTAAACTGTTTCTATGTGATTAATGAGTCGTCTTTTGATTATTTTTCGTGGCTAATCAAATTTCCTTTTCATCCCGACGTTTTGCTTTGAAGCAAAACTCCATCCATAAAAACTTGCATTGCCGTTTGTTTTTGATGCAAAAATACCCACGTAATTACTGAACTTATTTCCCAATACTTTCGTTGAAATGGAGACTGTTGCCGTATTTTATTTTTCAAAATTTTTAGCTCAAATGGAAATTCCCCAAACATGTGAGTGGATTGATGAAATGATATTCACGGATTTGGACGAGGAAGAAGCAAGGAAAAAAGTGAAGGCTTATAATGAGGAAGCCAGTAAAAAGGGATATTTCCGAAGATGGCAAAACAATAGAAGTAATCCAATACCAACGATTAAATACTCTTCTTATTACATGAATGTTATTTTTTAAGGGCCGCAACAAAGAAGCTTTAGACTTGGTGATAGGAGAGGCGGTTTTCCTGGAAGTCGATTTGAAAGATACCCACCTGGAAGAGGCGGCTTTAACAGGCCTGCCCCATATCCTGGCAGGAGGGATTTGAGACCAAGTCGTCCAACGCATATTAATCCATGGAGACACCATCCAAGAGGTAATGCAATTTATGACTTGTATTATTAAAAAATTAAATAAGGACAGGGATTTCTTACTCGGATAATACCGATGAAATTCTTGTGTTTAATGATAAAAAACCGAATTGAGTTTAGTATCTACGGTAGCTCTATTTTATCAATTACGTTAAATCAATTTCTTTTATGATTAATTTTCCTATTAATACTTCCTTGGCGTTGATGCGACTGTGTATATATTGCAGGCCCAAGGCTGCCAGACGCAACTCGAAACCGGGAAAATCGCAACTCTGGTTTTGGTGGTGTTCGTAATCAATCGGCTCTTCGTAATCAAGGCGCACGCAACGCGGGTGTCTGGCAAAACAGTGCTGGAGGTTCCAATAACTGGGGCTCCGGCCATCAAGGAGGTAACTTTAAATTTATAAACTGCATCTTATGTGCATAAGTAAATAATAAATATTTCTTGCAATAGGTTGGAATTCTTCGATGTATCAGGGCTTCAATTCTGCTTGGAACGATGCAAATACTGCGAATCAACAATCCGCTTGGAAATATGGGGGCAATCAATCCGGGTATAATAATAGTGGCCGATACGGCAATCAAGCGAACTACGGAAATTACCAAGGTATAAAAACAATTTTCTGATTATAAACCTAGCTAATGTTTGCATAAATAAATCTGCAGGCTACCAAGGAAGCCATCAAGGATATGGCGCGCAAATTGGTTATGGATCAAACCAAGGCGGATACGGCTCTCAAGGAAATTATGGAGGTCAGCAGGGATATGGACAACAAAACTGGAATTATGGTCCGTACGGTCAACAGCAGGGTTGGGGCAGTCAGGTAAAGATTAAAAAATATGTTGGTTTAAGTTTATATCAACATTCAAAGCAAATCTGGATTCATCTGGTGTGCAGTGAAGTGCAGCACTAAAGTGAATCAACATGCTTTCAAAGGTTCAATCAGAAACAGTAACATTTCCCCAAAATTATACTTTTTCGTTTAAAAAAAATCATCTGACCTCAGATCACCTTTAAAATTCACTTGCGACCTAACCCTTTATACCAAACTCCCTTCTCGCAAGAACTTCCTCCTGAACTATTTCACATTTGATTTGAAAACACCTTGTAATTAAATGTAGGTCAAACATGCACAGGAAATCGTACTAAACTGTCGTATAAGTTCGGAAAAAGTTTGTTTTTTGGAAAAGCTGTGACTCGCTAGTTTTGTAACGTAAATAAGGCTTGACGAAGGCAATATTAGAAAACAGGCAAAGGCTTGAAGAAGATAATTTGTAGCTACATGAAAAAAGTGAATGTGATTATTTCAAAGTATTATCAAATGGGTTGCCTACTCACAATGGAACTAATTTTAACTACAGTTTCATTTTTTAATTATTTTATTCGGTTAATCTGTAATACGCTTATTTTGAAATTTTTATTCAAAATGAAAGTTTCAAATCCCTTTGGACCCCTTAAATATCCACTAGCTGTAATAACCTGTGGGGCGTCGTTTGGGTCGCTATAATTTATTAAAGTGTATTTTGTGAACGAGAATTAAAATGATCAGAATCGGTTATTTTTTAAATACAGTTCAATTAGTTGTTAGTGATTGTACCACTTGAACCTGTATTTTTATAGAATTTATTTTTCTTCCAGAAGAGAAAATAAATACAGTCACCAGCAGGCGCCCTTCATTTACACTGGAACTATTCCTACTTCTGAGGACACTTACGATAAATGAAAATTGTTTAGTAAATGTTGATTCTGGTGATTTGTACTTGTAAATATGTGTAACTGGATTGGACTTATCGAGCATTCCTCAACATTTGCAAAATTTATAAAGTACTATATATTTATTTTTTACGAAGTACAAATACAACAAACTACAGCCATCAAAGTTGGGCCCAGAGCGACATGCACTTCAACATATGCAGTAATGTAGGACATTAGTTGGTTTTAATGGAAGGAACTCAGTATGATTTGTTTCGAGCACCTATTACCTTTCGTTTCAATCTTTTAACAACTCTTTTATGGTTTAACTTTCATATTATTTATGTACATAACATATAATTAGAAGGCAGTTTTTGTGTTTTATTGGTATAATTAGAGTTGCAATGAAGTACCACCTATATTAAATATTCTGATACTTTTTAGGCAAAAGCTACTTGTGAATTTTTACATGTACAAAATATATAAACTACAATGGTATTGATTATTTTTAGTGTATATTATTTACGTTTTTTACTGTTCAGTAGTAATAAATTGCTGAACAATTGTGTTTCTGATGCAAGTGTTTGTGCAAAAAAAATTTGCAAATTAATTAACAAAGGTTCAAAATAAAATTACGGTTTTTGAAACCTGAGTTGTTTGATTTATTATGTGACGCAACACTTGATTGTTCTGGCTTTCTTTATCTTTTCATTAAGGAAATTTTTTTTTGTCAATTTTTAATCGGTTAGGTTCGACGACATGTGAGTTTTATGTGATATTGTTTTCAGTTTCATTCCGAAATAAATAAATACCTGCATTTAATTAGTCTTACTCATTCAGTAAGATATAGAACATTTTATCTAAAAGCAATACCTTCTGATTCTGTGATACTGGTAACTGCTATTCCAGACATAAGTGCAGCAATCACTTTCCAAATCGTCTATTACGTTTAAAGATACGACCAATTTAGAGTCTCTCCAAGGAAGATAAACTTGATGCATTCGCCGCTATACATTTAAAGTTTTGAGGAGCACAACTTAAAAATTAACCACAACTACGTTGTAACGTTGAAATGTCTGCATGGATGCGTGGTTGCCGTTGTGCTTTTTATAGAATATACATTTTCTCAAAGCTAGGTTGCTTCTAGCCCGCAGATTTTTAAATTGTAGTGTCTGTGAATAAGTCTTCAATAAATTACATCATAACATTGTTATGGGCATTATGGGATAAAGTCCTTATATAATGTTTATTATTTTTATTAAATTAGTTTCAAGACTCCTCAAGCCTCCTCCTCCTCTTAAGCAAACTGCGGCTAACTTAATAGACCTATTATTCCATTCGATATTTTGTGGTGTTAACCTTAAATTAAACCGGAACTGCATGTTGTGGTTTGAATATTTATTTATACGATTATTCGCAAAATAGTTCATTTAGAGCTCGATTTTAATCGTTTTATAGTTCTGTGAATGTTCAGAGATACTCACTTATTTAAGGCCTAAAACCGTTTCTTGGTATTAACTAGTATTGCAGTTTTCATTCACAACCACTTGAGTCTGAGATTTGAATCCCCTTAGGCAAGTAAGTACCAATTTTTTACTATAAAATCATAGTCAGTAGTTGTTTCTAGGCATACTTTACGAAGATTTATGCTTTGCATGTGAAACACATTGGTGCTGTTCACATGATAGTAATAGAAGTTCAATTCATTGGATTTGCGATATTCATTTAATCGTTATATTTACTTATGGTAATATAACTAAGTGACTCAAGTACATCCTTCAGATACAAGGTGCAAAACAAACTGTTTTGTTGGATTTCTGATGTGCAAATATGATCGTTTAATCCAAGTTACCTTAGTGCTAACGTTGGCAGCTACATGCCCTTTGGGCGTAAGAAATGAATAAAATAAAGACACTCAAACTCTCTCAAAACACACTTCTGAATTCGAAGAATGTTGTGGATGTTACTTGTGCATTGTGACTGATGATTACAAAGTATATTTCGAGAAAACAAAGGCCAATTGCAAAGTTAACAAATTACAAGAAAACATTAACGATTCTCAGCATAACGAACCTAAAATCTATCTGTCATTATTGAGGTTTTTGTCTCATTCAGTTCAGAAACTTAATATTACTAAAGCAAGCCAATATTTAGAAGCCAAAATGAGTGTAAACTCATCATAAATAATGCTAATCTTAATACAGAAATGGAGGGTCAAGAACAAACTGAAGAAAAACGGAAGCGTATGTCCTGTGGACTGTACACTAACTGGCCAGAGTCACTTAAGGGCGCCATTCAAGAATCGTTTGAGTATGGGTTTCATTTTATTGTTACACAGTTAACATGTCCAACTTTTGTTAAGCTGTTTGGTGGTCCTGACGCTCAACACGTTATTGGATGGACCGATAGAATGCTAACTTCCAATGAATGGGGCAGGCTAATTGTGGGTAAGTGATTATAAGCATTTACTTTAGGTTATTCTTTCGCAGTATACAGTTTTAATAAAAAGTGCGGACAAACTTTCCACATATGACCAAATAGGGGCGCAGCTTGTACTTTGATCCGGATGTTTTTAAGACCTTAGTTTTTGCACATTTTCAAGTTTCAAGATAAGATCGCTTGGCTGACTTGTAGCTCATTTTTCGTTCAAATTTTTTATATTACTTGCATTTTGTCCAAGGTGCAAACTCGTAGTATACACCTATGGACCAAGTAATAGTGTAATTTGAGGCATAATTTGTAAATCAAAACTGCTTTTCCACATTGTGCTTTTTGAGATCTAAATTAATCTCTAAGATTTGTATCATTTTTGCCATTCCTAGAACCCAGCCGGTCTGTGGGTGCTAGCTTGAACATTAAGTGTTCAATATCAATGTTGTTGCTAGTGGCAAAACTATTGCTTTTGAGAGCTCTTCGGGTATTGGATACACCATACAAGGATTTTGGACGAGTTTTTCGGCTGAATGGAAATGAATTAATTTTTCCTGCCTGTTTTGATTGTTGAATCGGATACTTTTACTTTTATGGGTATGGACTGGTATCCTTCTATGGTGTTCAATGTAATTAATTATTACTAATTATATTCAGGCGCTAATCCAAAATCGCCATCAGAGACCACAATATTTTCTTCTATCACATCTAAGTTGTAGATTTCATCAGCAGTGAACACTATTTTTCTAACAACTGCTTAACCTTCTCGGAAAATCTGGAAACATTCCGCTTATTGAGGCTGGTGTCTGCGTTTTACAAAATCCAATTATCACCGGTTTCCACGCAGACATTTATTTTCTGAAGAGGCAGGAATACTTTTATTATTTGCCTTTGCCTTGGCCTACTCCAAAATCGAATGCAAAGATCTGACTGAGGAGAAGAGTAGACTTTTTCTTCAGCTTCCGAAAACGTGTTTTCAACAGCATTATCCGTATTTATAAAATTGAAACATACGAATAGGAAAGGCAAAACTTCCTATTCGGTTCATGGTACAAAACTATTAAAGCAAAAACTAATTACTTTACTGTTTATATCCTCAATTTTTACACAAGACATGCGAACATTGTAAAGAGAAACTGCATAAAAAATAGAAATTAATTAAATCACATTAACATATTTACTTTTGGGGGTGCGTAAAAGTATGACGACTCACATATGGCCACAGGGCGTATCAACTAACAACCTCAGTTTGCTTACAGTTTATACGGTAAATTTGAAATTATGTGAATGAATCAAGATACAAGCTTCTCCCCTATTTAATTATTATTTCGTGTGCAGTCAATTGTAACATTCGAATGCAATGGTATTGCAAACAACGAAATGGTGCTTTTAAGCATGTATTTTTTAATTGAACCAACAGAGCATTTCTTTCAATCCTCTGTACTGATAGCACGGATATATTTTGTTGCAGCTGAATTATCGCGCAATATTGATGTCGACAGTGATGTGGATGATGTAAGGCGAAGCAACAAAGCGATTTTAGAAAAAGAATTGGGTTTTGCTTCGCATTTAGGTGTCCCCGCAATTCTATTGTATCTCACTAAACCAAAAAATACTCAGTTAGCAAGAATCGTTAATGATAAATTAGTATCTGGTTATACCTACTCAGTGTGGATTCAGGTACGTTGTTTTTCTGCCCTTATCGGCGCAGTTTTGAATGCTTTTCATATTATATTTATAGATTCCGATGGTACATGCGTCTCGAGCCGATCCAATAGGTGAAATCGAGCATGATACTTGGGACTGGTGGAACGATTTTCGTTCGTTTTGCGATTATGACAAACGCATAGGACTTGTACTTGAAATTCCTGATGTTAAAAATGCTCCAAGTTCTGAAGAATTGGATAGATGGGTAATGCATTGCACTTCAAACTTAACTTCATTAGTAATTTATTTTGTTGTTTAGATTGGCGAACCAATTAAAGCTTTAGTATTGAAAGCATCTTTCTTCTTAATAAATCAATATGGAAAACCGGTTCTACCGAAAGTTCATCAAGATATTGTGCAGAGATTCATGTCGATAGACGTTCAATACATCATTCACTTAGATGTGGAAGCTGGAGATCACAGTCTCTATGTAAAGTATATGAACTTTTTAGGAAAGAAATTGTATATGTGCGATACCATGAGCCAGTTTGTGCAAGGGTTAGAAATTATATTATTATTAATACGGAATGCTTATATGATATTTCATAAAAAAAATGGACGGAAAACTTTTGTCACCATTCTAAAACACTCAGTCGAAGCTCAAATTCATATTGCCTTAATATTTAAATAACATTTTAGATGTGAAGACTATTTGCAAAATCCCTTGCAGCCACTTGCGGAGCATTTGGAGGCGCCGGTATATGAGGTGAGTCGTTGTAAACAATTTAATCAAGACTTGCAAAACCAACTGATCACATTTACTTTAATTATCCAGGTATTTGAAAAGGATCAAACTAAGTATGATACGTATCAAAAGGCTTTTCATAATGTCTTAGAACAATGGTCGGAAAACAGAATTCCAGTGGTAATGGTGGTTGGGGCTGGAAGAGGTCCTTTGGTGCAAGCGGTCCTGAATGTATCAAATATTTTGTCGAAAAAGGTACTTAAATCTCTTAGAATCAAAGTTTTAGTTCACAGTATATCTTTGACTAAAATTTGTTTTTACGATAACAACTCCAAAGTTTATTGAACCAATAATTGGATGTTCTCAGGTGAAAGTATACGCGGTGGAAAAAAATCCGTATGCAATGAATACATTGGCACATCGAAATAAATTTGAATGGAATTCGCAAGTAACTTTGGTGAATCAAGATATGCGAAACTGGCAGGCTCCAGAACTTGCCGATGTTTTAATATCTGAGCTACTCGGTAAGACTTATTGCTTAATAGCAATTTTTGTACAATCTGTTGAGTTTGTAGATAGTAATATTGACTAGTGAACGTATAAAAGATGTTGTCAGAAGTATCAAGCAAAACTGAAACTGCACAAAAATCTGACTATTGTGCATTTAAATTATAAAAGTAATTTGCGAAATTAATTAAATGGAGAATGTTCTATTCAAATGTTGAAAAAAGGTACAGCCTGAACAATGGCAAGCTATTTAAGGCATATTAATCTTTTTTTCAAAGTATTTTAATACATTTTGCTATATGAACAGCGCAAATACTGACAGCGGTCTTAGTGAGACACCCTGTACAAAAATTGTTACCGGGTTTTAGCTTTTTTCAATTCCTATTTAAACATTTATTGATCATAATTTCTTATTATAATTGTTTACGCTCATAAAGAATTGTATTCTATAGACTGAACTTTGAGTTTATTTTTACAATTTTCAAAAGCAAGTAAATAATATAGACTGTTTCATTAATTTAAAGGAAAACGTTATATTTATTAAAGCTTTGCATTGTATGATGACTCAAATAATTGATTAAACTACCTATGTAAAACTTTATTAAATTTTAGGATCTTTTGGAGATAATGAACTATCGCCCGAATGCCTCGACGGTGCCCAACGGTTTTTGAAAAAAGACACGGGAATATCCATACCATGTCAATATACATCGTTTATTGCACCCGTGCAGTCTTTAAAGATTTTCAATGAAATTAAAAATAATAGAATGCCAGACAAAACTTTAAAGCAGTCCTACGAATGTCCCTATGTGGTATGTATTTATTTCCCCATTCAATTAATCTAGCGTTATTTATTTCTAATTATTTTTAGGTGCATTTAGCTAACTTTTATCAGCTTGCACCAACGGAACCCCTGTTTGTTTTCGACCATCCAAATTTTCCGACAAGCGGTGAAAATCCCGACAATAAGAGATATAAATCAATTAAGTTTCCTCCTGTGAAGAAAGCGGCAGTTTTGACCGGATTTTCGGGTTTCTTTGAGACAGTACTTCATGGGGATGTAACGTTGTCCACTAATCCAGAAACACATACGCAAGATATGGTAAGTTTAACGTTGCTAATATGTTTTATTACTTAAAGTTCATCATTGGGACGTTTTTCTAGTGTGTAGTTAATTCAAAGAGATTTGCGAAAATGTACTTTTTTTCCAGATATCGTGGTTTCCAATATTTTTTCCTCTGTCAGCACCAGTGCACTTAAAAGCCGGCGATATAGTGAGAGTGTCGTTCTGGCGCGAAGAAACCGTAGAGAAAGTATGGTATGAATGGTGTCTCGAATCTCCGTATAGAACCGCTATAATGAATCCTAATGGCAGGTCGTATTTTATCAAGAAGCATTAAATTTGATCTAAGGCTTAAGCGTAAACAATGAATAAAAGTATTTTATTTTTTTAGAATTATTGTGGAATTTTGTGTGAACATCAGCGCAAAATTAACATACAGCTGTAATATTTCCATAAGTGTTTTGTACGGCAGTTTTTAACATGAAATTTCCGATAAAGTATAATTATTAAATTGATCATTTTCTCAAGTTCGAGTTTTTCTTATTTATCGATGTCCTACATGCATGTTCCCATTTAGTGGTATTCATTTGAATTAACAATTTAATTCTTTGCCCACAAGGGATAGTTTATTTAATCGGGCCTTTTTGTTTCTTTAGCAGTAGTCATTAACATTTTTTTAGCCTCGTTAATTTTTCGTTAGATTTCATTATATGGGTTTTTAAATTCAATGACGTCACAGAAATTAGGCAATAACTTCGGTTCTATTTCTCGGTATTCATAATATTGTAATGTCAACATCTTTCAACGTTGGTATTTAAGTTAACCTCAAATATTTCCAAAGTAAACAATATATTAATCAGTCATACTAGCTGCAAAGCTCTATATTTGTATTAAAAACGAAATACTACTGTTTAAGTGATACTGAAATCAACAACATGGCTTTAAATGTGTACTTGGGCATTTGGAGCGAAGACAAATTACGCCGAATTAGAGTGGATGACTTGGATGTAGATTCAAATGTTGAAGTCTTGAAGCTCCATTTAGTCAAAGAACTTGGGAATAGTCCATGTGGTATGCGATTTATTACAATTCGGTTCTTTCTGTGATTTTTGTTCCTAGCTTTACTGAAAGGAACAAGTTTTCCTTTTAGTCGTTTCAAGGTTACCTAAGTTAGCACACAAAGAAAGTGGTTGAGATTTGCGCAAATATAGAACTTCCTATTCTTTATTCACGTGTGCTTGTAGATATACATTTTTGTCCTGATTCGTTGGGATTACTCACAAAACACGTAAAGAACATGCCATAAAAGCGTAATTTTTATAAGAAGTTGATATACTTTGCATGTAACACTAATGGTGGATTTTTACAAAATTTAACTTTAAGCTGAAACATTTGGAGTTTGCTTTAAAAAATATCGTGCCTTGTATTTTAATGAATCTTAAATTCCCGCTGTATAAAGTGTCCCTTTCAAATACACAGCAAATACGTTTTTAGAGCCCAGAAGAACTATTTAAGACTAAGATTACATTCTGTATAATAAGCCAATGTAGAAAATAATCACACATGTACAAAAATTTTCTTCTACCTGCGTATATATCCAGTGCAATTATATGTAACAAACTTTATACATTTCCTGTTTTATTCAACTTAATAGAACTGACCTTTTGCGGCTTGCACTTGGAAGATGGCAAGCCAATATCAACATATGGAATTACCCCGGGTGTGACTATTCATGTCACAGAAAAACTACACGTAAAGCAAGCCAACATTTCAGAACCGACAAAAATTACCGAGTCCGATATTCAAGAACTTGTCAGCAGCTATCGGAACTTTAAATCACTGCCTTCCTACAGGAGTACACTTCATGTACGTGCGTATTTAGTAGTGTTTATGAGCTGTATTTATATCTGAAATGTTTATATCTAGAGATTGGAAAATCCATCGGAATTGGATAAAGTTATAGCTGCAGTGCCTGGTTTGGAATCAGACGAAATTGCAATTGCCTTCATCTCAAAGCCCGATTTATTTACGCAAATGGATGATCCAAAGACATGTCGACAGGTAAAGGAGCCTAAGATCAAACACTTGTTCTTACTACATGTGACTATGGTTCTTAGATAGGGGAAAGGCATCCATGCATTTTGGCGGCAGCACGTTACATAGTCACCGAGTTTCATAAAAGCACTACCCTGACATCCACTTCAACTCTTCAACCGCCACCATCTACTGGACATTCTTATTCATTAGACGCCCTATCCGATGATGATGAAGAAATGGAAGGTGACGGACCTTCATCAGATGGTGCAACTATTACGGCTGCTCATCTAGCGGCTGCTCTAGCTGAAGCAACGGCTGAAGCTGCAGCTTCTACTACAGCTACACGATCGGCTCCCACGACTACCGCTCATTTAGCTGCGGCTTTAGCTCAAGCTGCATCAGCTGCGGCTGCCAGATCTGCAGGCTCATCGGCTCCTGTCACAGCTGCACCATCTGGAGCAGCAGCAGAGTCATCCAGTGCGGCACGCATTACTAATGAAATGTTGCAACAAGCTTTCACACCAACAATCGGGTAAGCAAAATACATTTAAATCGATAAGAAAATATTTGCAGAATTTATGAATATCGCCCCAGTTTGAAAAGTTATTATCTACCACAGTTGAGAAATGTTTGTCTTACATAGTAAACTTTCAAAGAAAATGAAAGATAAATACTTTCTAGTCTAAAACAGTCAACTAAAAACTTGTGCACACTCGGTGAATGAGCAGCCATAACTTTATAATCTTTGTTATTTATTTGGTCACACACAATTTTTATCTTGTTAGGTATGGAGCATATTTAAGCCAGATGAGGGAACTGGGATTAAACAATGAAGTGCTCAATTTAAGAGCTCTGATGGCAGCGGGTGGCGATCTTCAAGCTGCTATCGAGCTGGTTTTTAGTGGAGCACTAGATGATTGAAATTCAGTCTGATGATTTCGGATTGGACGAAAAATGCGGATTAAATTATATACGTTTTAATTGTCTTTCTACTCTAAGTGGATCATTTCATTATATTCTTTATTTTGCTAATCTTTTAAACATGTAAATACATCGGCGATTTCTGTACCATTTTTATTACCAAATTAGGTGTGAAGCATGTTAAGTCAACATTTCTGGATGAATAAATTGTGCTTTTACAGTTTTTGTTATAAGTTGTAACGGTCAGAACAATGACTACTTTTTAACTGTAAGATTTATGGAGACCTGCAAACAACTTCACCGTGTGGATAAAATGTAACCAAAAGATTGTGATTTAACTGTCTTAAAGGAATTATACAGTACCGAACTGTGAATTAGACTGCGAGAACAAACCTCTAATCGCGAATAAGCGTGTATTTCCTGACACGATTTTAGTGGGAACCGAATTTAAAAGTGATAATCTTGATTGCTACCGACTATGCTGGAAGAAACAGTTAATTCTGGTGGTTATCTAGTCACTTGATTCTACAAATTCCCGTGAAATAAAAATCCTTAATAAATGAACGTAATGAATAACAAAATAAAAGTAATCATCGGGATCTCAACCATGTTCATGTACTTATAATAGGTTTTTAGCCAAGTTTTTATTATTCAGTTTTATCCAAGTAAAGGTCGACCAATGGCCTGGTTTCATACTAATCTATTGAAAATTACTTTGCATTTTGTGTTTTATCCTTATAGTGCTCGACTCTTCGCTTTGGTTGCAACCTTCTGCATTGAAATATCGGACAAGCGGTGAAAGTGGATCGTCAATGCTTTACTCGTAATTTGGTTCACTTTACTTTCTACAAAACAAGGCTCGAAAAAAATCAGGGCATAAAAATGGGGCAAAATATCGAAGCATCAGTAGACAACATTTGCAATATTCTATATACTGTGTCCAAGAACAGTAATTTATACAGAGTTGGTTAAATGGGAAAAAGTTTGGCAATTAGAACATGACGCTTTAAAATTTTTAATTAAAATTTCGGATTCTGGTTTGATTGGAAAACCCCAAAATTTCTGAATTTCAATATTATTCTTCTCTAGTGTTAAATGAAGGCTGGAGCAAAACCCACTAAATGTTCTCACAGCAACTTTAAATCCACGAGAAAAACACATTATCAGTGTTATGCTCCGACGTGTGGCCTTCAGAAGGCATCATCAACTTCGTTTTTTCACATACGGATCTGTCTGTTTAACAACATGTTCTAAAACCTCTTCTATTCTGAATTCAGCTATGTTAAGATTTAATTATAATTTGGTTATTTTTTAAATTATTATTGTGAAAACTGTGAACATTTTTGAGATTAGAGACAACCATCTAGCAGACGAAATTAGTAGAAAACATTAAAAACCTACAAGATTTCTTATGCGAAAAAAACTTTGTCTGTAAAGAATGGAGGGAAGATTTTCAAATACAGAAAAGTTTGCTGTTATCATGTTTTATTTTGAGTCAGAGAAACCCCTGTGTGGAGGAGCGACTGTACTTGACAAGTATCCGGAAAGGAGACAATTAAACAAACGAACATTCGGCAAGTCAGTAACTAATCGCAGATAGTCCAATGTTTTTAAACAGCTAGTGTTTTCTCGAAAAAAAAAACAGCGGTGCAAAAAAATTAAACAAAGTTTTATTGACAATTACCGAAAACCCTGGTGTTTTAACTCGAAAAACTGAACAACGCATTTCATTAAAAAAAACAACAAATAATTCATTGGTTTAAATACAGAATTTGTCAAGGGCTTGGGTACAAGAAGGTGATCTAAACAGACGTCTAACATTTTGCGAATGGTATATAGGGGACGAACATTTTCCTTAGCAAATAATACGGTCTGATGAAAGCTTTATTTCCAATAATGGTGCAGTCAACAGGCGGAATGTAGTTACATTTTTGGTCAAAATCAAAATTCTCATTTAAACAATGAGTCAAGACTATTTATATTTAGATTTAATATCTGGGCTGGAATTTAGGGAACAAGGATAATGAGCATCTGCTCTTACAATCAGAATTTGAGAACAGAAAGTAGGCGATTGTTGGATTCACCAGGATGGTTATTATTAACGACAATCCAAGAAAGGTTATTAGAGATAATCTATGGGCTCGATTCCAATATAGACATTAAGCACTTATTAGTCGCCCTGACCAGCACGGTCACCCGATTTCACTCCACTTGATTTATTTTTGTATATACAGGGTGATTCACAACCTTATGGACACAGAGCAGGGGCGCGTAGAGGACCTCAAAACAAGTCGAGTTTCCATTTAAGTTTTTTTCTCAGGCCCATGGTTAACGAGATACAGGGTGTTAAATTTTCAAAAAAATTGTTGGTATTTTCTCTTCAACTCCTACAGTGAGATATTTTGCTCAAAATTTTGAACGTAGGTTAATGTTTAGACAATTTACCCGCAGGTCAGGCAACTGGTTGTGAAAGTCTACAGGGTGTTCTTTTTTCTAGAGGCATACAACCCCCCGAACATTTTTGTGGTGCGCCGCCACTGACTTCGACCGAACACTCTTTTGGATTTGTTGTTCGATTTAAGAATTTTCTGATCTCTTGCAGTTTTTTCGTATCTGTCTTCGTTTTCGAGTTATTTGCACAAATATAAGTCCATGTAGGGTTTCTGAGTGATTTTCCATGAATTTTCTTATCATTTTTTTGCGTCCTTTTGTTCACATTTTTTTGTGAAATTGAAATAATCGTTCCATTTTTCTCCACTTTTGTTTGGATTAGCTTACAGCCGATAAACCTCAATTATTGTAAATTAAATTAAAGTAAAAAAAATAATGTTAAAGTTAACTCATCAGCCATCTCTATTTAAACTTCAACTGGCACTTGAAGCTTTCACACAAAAATGTGAACAAAAAAACGCAAAAAAATATATAAACAAATTCATAGAAAATCACCCAGAAACCTTACATGGACTTATATTTGTGTAAATAACTCGAAAACGAAGACAGATAGGAAAAAACTGCAAGAGATCAGAAAATTCTTAAATTGAACAGAAAATGCAAAAATGTGTTCAGTCGAAGTCAGTGGCGCACCACATAAAGTTCGGAGGGGTAAGAGGGTATGCCTCTAGAAAAAAGAACACCCTGTAGATTTTCACAACTAGTCGCCTTACCTAAGGGTAACGGGTCTAAATATTAGCCAACGTTAAAAATTTGAGCAAAATATCTCCTAAACTGTAGGAGTTAAAGATAAAATACCAAACTTTTTTTGAAACTTTAACACCCTGTATCTTATTAGTCATTTGAGTTAGTTTTCTGAGGTGCTCTATACGCCCCTGCTCTGTGACCATAAGATTGTGTCTGTCGACAGAAGCTTCAATTTGTGATTAGAAAACGAGGGCAATATTTTTGACCTTTGATTTAATAATTAATTTAAAATTAAATTAAATGTTGAATTTGTTTCTAAATACATTTTCAAGTGAATTTCAATACAAATCCTATACTGTGACTACCAGCGTTGAAAATCAGGTCCGTGATTACAATTTTTCGAAAATTTATTGTCGATCAAAACAACGAATGGCAATATGTACATCGTTGAAATCAAAATAAAAAAGCTTTCAGAATTTGCTAATAAAAATACAGGAGCCAATTTAAAAAAAATGAAGTTGATGACGGTTTCTTGAGAACGAAAAGTCGAGACTTAATGTTGCCATGAGAAAGTAGGTATAGTTTGTTTTGTTCCAGCTTTGATTTTAAAGCCAGAAAAAAATAATATTGAAATTCGAAAATGACAGTATTTTCCAAATAAGTGAGAAAGGAAAATTCCTATCAAAGATCTGGAAGTGCCATTTTATTACTCTTTTAATTGGCCAACATTTTTCCCATTTAACCAACTTCGTATCATTTACGGTTTTCGTTATCCCCATACTGGCCCTTCTTATCTTGGACACAGTGTATAGATCGCGGTGGTTTCCGGTGGAACACCCTGTATAGTGCGTGTTCAAAGAACTGATTTGAGGTACGTTTAGATTTGTTTATCTAGTTTATACTTTGATTTTAGAAATCAACTAGGTAGGTCGAGTAAAATTAGATCACAATATCTAACAATTACCGCATAACAACAATCAAACTAAACTAAATGTTTGTCTTTCATATCTCGAAATAATTGACTCTATTATTTTCTCTTTGAGTAGCTGCTATCCATATTTCCCGTCACTTTTTTTAAATATAAAGTAAAAACTATGCGACCTAATTCACCCATTAAAACCCATTAAAACCAGGAAATTTTGATACGTAACTTTTCCTTGGCCCACCCGGTAGAGCTGAAACTAATTTCAATAAGTAGCTCACTTACACTGGGTACAGGGAGCAGAGCAATTCTCATTGATAATTAGGAAATCAGAATTAATCAGCTGGTTAGTATTAAGATCTGAAAAAAAATCCAAAATTCGCTCAGAAACATGTACAACTGCGAAAACTCTAGTAAAAAATCGACAATTGTGCATTAAAAAAAAAGGACTCATGTGGCTAAAACACTACATTTATTATATGAATATAGATGCAACTGGCAACAAATATTTTCACAATCCGAAGAATCTCACAATGGCAAAACCTTTCGATAAGTTAAAACAAATACAGTTCATGCATTTAAAAAAAATCGACCAATGCAGCCCTATACATGCCCTTTCAATATGGCAGGCGGGGGTGAAAAGGGCGTGCCCTACTAGGCGGAGCCACGAAATGCAATCAGGCGAATCATGTTGGGATTTTAAAGACCCTTTGTGGAAGCCCTTTGGACACGGCATTCGGTCTGTTTGCGTTATTTAGTGTAGAGCCGTGCATGGATTTGCAAGCGGCATTTGTTTGTATCAGCTGGTGTAGAAATCTTTGCGGAATTAATAATGGGAAATTGAAAATGCTTTGGCATCAAGATGCCCTGTCAATTGCAAATAGCCCGTTTAATTAGTAGTGAAGATATAACATGCCCTAAGGAGATTTCTAGTATTCTAGTATACACATATTGCGTTTGTTGGTTAATTCGAACCAATTCTGTTCAATTCCAGGGGCAATTAAGGTTTTGCAATATCCAAGAAGAAGCTTTACGAATGTTTAATCTCAGTTGATCAGCGAATTCTCGGATTTCCAGTTACACTTAAAAAAAGAGGCCGTTTTTGTTTTTGTTCTATAAATTTATATTTGCGCAATTACTCTTATTAACTTAAAAATTAAAAA